AAATAACACTTAATTGAATTTCAATTAAACTTTGAATAAATCAGTTCTTAAGTTGATTTTTGTATTTGGTATTTCAAAATTAGGTAATTAAAATAATTTTACAGGTAAATTAATTGATTTTCAATTAAACATACATTATGCAAGAGCTAAATCTGCCCATTGTAGGTCTCTTTTTAGGCCTGAAATGTGATCCAAATTATTAATCAGACATTAATTAACTTATCCAGACCATAATCAACTCTTGATGTCATTGCTAGCCTGCGATGGTAATTGGATTAGGTTCCGATTTGCTGTTCGACTTCCATAATTTAATCATGAAATGGATAATCAAGACTTTGGTTTTTATGTACCGACTTTAGTAGACTTTAGTAATAATGATTGAGGCTATGCCGGAAATTCAATCGCTAAAATCTAGGTTCAGAGTGGATCGATTTGACTGAAATTTTCAGCAAATTCCCTTTCCATTATCTAGTTTTTAACTATTATAGTGGGGACTGTCAGCTCTTTATCTAATCTTCCATAATGTACTTTTAATAGTTTATACTTGTTATTACAATAAAGAAATCGAGTATTTTTAATATTCAATAAATAAATAACAATACATTAAAATGAAGTTTTAAATACAGTATCAAATATAACTTATTCCACAGACCTAATAATAAATATTAATAAATACCCTTTACCATACTAACCTGTAAATTAAATACAAGGTTTAAACAAACTGATTAAAATACACATCTATATTTCGTTTCGTTTTTTATACTTTCGATGGCCTACATGAAGATCTGACCGGTTGTAGCGATAGGTCACTTGAGAGGTCATACGAGCGACTTTTGACCCTATGCCGTCAGTCATTTGATTAACCAATCATCATTGATGTTACTAGTGAATTACCCACAGTTCTGTGCAAAACACGGCGTAACAGACCGTCATCATGTGGCTAAGGGGGTAAGACGCTGGCTCGCTAGCCTGGAGGTTGGTGTTCCATCCCTGCATTGGCCGAGAAAGTTCATTCAGATTTTCCGGTGTGGTTTCCCCTTGTCAGTGATGCAGGATGGAAGGCCTGACAAGGACAGCTGTCTAGTTGTTCGGATGGTATGAAAAACCAAGGTCATGTGTACATATTGGCGTGCACGTAAAAGATCCCTTGGCAGTTGGAATTCGATATAAGAGTAGGCCGTAGCGCCGCTGCCCGAGCAAAATTTCCCTCATAGCACCACTGTATGGCGTATGTCCGTCTTCATTAGCCCAGGTTAGGAGCAGAACATTTCATTGGCAAAACCCTTACATCATCCAGAACAGGTTATATAACAACTCTTCCAGATCCTAGTGTAATAAATACAAGTAAAACAAAATTTTGAACTATAAAAACTAAACGAAATAGGATCTGTGTTTTTAATCAGACTGTTATTATTAATATCTATCTGTTTATACCCTTTACCATAGTAACCTGATGTTGTAAATAAATAACAACCTGGGGCCTGTTTCACCAAATTTTAACTAAGATAAAATCCAAATTTTAGCAATATGATTGGATAATATTAGATAGATTTTAGTGCCAATAAAAATTGAAGTATCTAATAAAATTTGGATCTTTAGTTAAGGTTTCGAGAAATAGGGCCCTGTTTATTGGGTATATTATAATTAACCTTATTATTAAAGCATTACCATATACTTAAATTAACAATCAAAATATTATATTTCCTTCTAACATAATACCAATAAAAGACACAAAGATATTAAATAACCAGTCATCATTTCATCTCAATCTGTTTCACAGAGGATTATGAAAGTCTTCTAATATGACGCGTGCATTGTTTACATAAGCCCTTACTGATTCTGGCAGAATGGAGTCTTTTACTCATTTTAATACCCATTTACACTAAATAGGAAATAATTTTTACCTACAAATACCTCAAATGTCTTTATTTATTTTTCTAATACATAAAAAAAAATGTTTTAGAATTTAATTTGTTGGGGGTAAAAAGTTAATATTTTTGGCTCATTAAGTCGCATCGATGTCATCCTTATCAGTGATTGTCGCGGCCTAGCGAATATTCACTGCTGATCAGTGTGATTTCATCTGTGGTCAATTACTGAGTCTCCTTCCCTGTGTTTTAAGTGCTGTTTAATGGTGGAGAGCAAGACATCAAGTAATATATTGTTGTTTCAATATATTACACAATGTCTTAAGCTCGAGACCAATAAACAACTTAAAATACAGACACTCGCACATGCTTTGCAATGAAATATGTCATGCGGCTCCAAAATTTCAACTAGTAGTAGTATAAATAATGTCAGCATGGCACATGGCCTGTACCATTATTTGAAATAATGGTACACCAACATTAAAGGATGACGTCACATCTGTATTTTAACTGTGTATAACACATATAAATTAATGTATATGTATTAAATTCTAAAATAAAGTACAATAAGCCCTTTAAAATATCCTGCCACAAACAGATTTTATAAATATTTTCAAATTTTTCTCTGTCAGTTACATCAGTTTTCTATAAAAATTTCACATTTGATGAAATTTACGTCCATGTTTTTTTTAAAGGTATGAAAGTATATTTTTCATCATATTCGAGTATAAACATATAATCATAATACTGAAATTAAATTATTTTTATGAAATATTAAGTTAAACATACATTATGCAAGAGCTAAATCTGTCTATTGTAGGTCTTTCTTTATGCCTGAAATGTTATCTAAAATATCAATAAAGACATTAATTAACCTATCCAGTGGATTATGAGCCGATTTACTGCATAACTTTCCTTCAAGATTTAACGATGAAATGGATAATCAAGATTATGCTGTTTATCGTACTGACTTTAGTAATGATGATCGACGCTAGGCGGAAATTCAATAGCTTAGTTCTCTGATCATAGTGGATCAATTTGAATGAAATTTTCAGCAAATTGCCTTTACATTATCTAGTTTGAACTATTATAGTGAAAACTGCCAGCTTGTTATCCAATCTCCCATAATATATCTTTAATATGTTCATTGTAATAATAAATGAAACAGATGACTTATAAAACTCATGATTATAACCATAATAATGAAACTGCAATTTCTTGTTATAAAATACAGGGTGACACAAAAAAAACGTTCATCAATAAAAATCGAATAACTTTCAAAATTTTATTTAGATTAACATAAAAATCCAGCTACATTAGGTTAAGTCTATGTAGCAGACATCTCCAAAGTTTCAAGTCTGTACCACAAAAACTCTTTGTTTAACTGGCGCTCAAAAAATGTGCTCTGAATGAGCTCCCAGGTGCTGCAAGCACATTTGGATCCGGCGGGCAAAGTTCTCGATGACCCTCCCACATTCTTCCCTTGGGAACGCTTTTATTGCTGCTGTGATTGCTGCCTTCAGATCAGGGATAGTCTGGGGGTTGTTGCCATCCACCCTGTCCTTAAGGTATCCCCACAGATAAAAATCTGGGGCGTTCAAGTCCGGTGAATGCGGCGACCACTCCGGGTCACACCTGCGGCTGATCAGTCGGTCAGGGAAACACTGCTGTAGCCATGCCAATGATTCGTTTGAGGTGTGGGGGGTGGCACCATCCTGCTGGAACCACTGGAGGTCCCTGACGACCCCTCTTCGTCGACCAAGTTTAAGTGATGAACGCTTTTTTTGTGTCACCCGGTACTAAGTTAATATTTTAATTTAGTTAAAAATAAATACATAAGATAAACTTAATACTATTAATTCCCTGCTTGATAATATACACTTTACTTTCAATATCAATCAACTTGTTAAATACTATACAGTGGGCAAAGCTTGAGCAAAATATTTCATTTATATCAAATTATAAGATAGGTTGCCAGGCAACGAAACATACACCCACAGCAGCTAAATCATCCGGGCAGTCAACAAGAGTTGTCGAATATTTTTACTTTTGTTGTAATCAAACATTTATAATACACTAAAATCTGATTAAGAGTAACAACTCATTAAGTAATTATCAGAAAATCATTAGAATTTGTATGGCCCATGTCAACGTTCAGTATACAAAACATTTAATATTATAACTCTGGCAGTAATTATCGGAAATCAGTGAAAAACACAACTATGAACGTACTTTATTGCAATGTTTCAAATTTCATTTCTTTAGTGAGAAATTTTCTTAGTGTGCCGTTCAATATTTCGTGGCACACTTAGGAAAATCTCACGGCACACCTGTTGAGAATCACTGATCTAGCTGAAGTCAGATTTTAATCTTGAGAAAGCCACTACTTTGGTACTTTTAAAACATTATTAATTACTTTATATAACACCGGTAATACTAATATATATACTACATAATGGACTAGAGGCCTTGTGATGATAAAACATGTTTTGGACAAAATAATTAATACAACAAGTTTTAGAAATATCATAAAAATAATATGTATATTGAGTATATAAATATCTGTAATTTGAGATTAAAATAGATTATGTATGCTCCTGATGAAGTTATAGTAACTTACGATTATCATGGCATATCACTATAAATATCTGTTAGTTTGATATTAAAATAGATTATATAATATGGCATGTCACTATAAATAGCTGTAAGTAAATTGATATTAAAATAGTCTATATGAATCACTGTAACCTGGGTATCATTAAATCGTGTCTATCTAGCATTAATTTCTTTCACATTCATCTAATATCAAGTCTTTGTTTAAAAATTCGTAAAAATTGTTTAAAATCACCCCAAATCATCTTATTTGTATTCGTGTCCAGTTTAAAGCTCACTGATTAATTTTGAGAATGAGTGTCCAATTTACAAGTATTTAATTTCCTGACCACTGTTAAATAATCAATTGGGTTGTTTATTTTTGAACAGTGATCGAGAAATTAATCGCTTGTAAATTGGACACTCATTATCAAAATTGAATGGTCAACTTTAAACTGGACACAAGTACAAAATAGATGATTTTTGGTGATTTTAAACAATTTTTACGAATTTTTAAACAAAGATTTGATATTGAATGAATGTGAAAGAAATTAGTGCTAAATACACAAGATTAAATGATAGCCAGGTTACAGTGATATGCTGCTGATTATTATTGTGGCACGTCACTATAAATGGCAAGATAATTTAAAAGCACCGGGTAGAAAAATGAGATTCTACATTTAGACAAGCAAGCAATATCATACATTTATCAAAATAATTATATTCACATCACCAAGCCTGGAAATAAGGCGTAGGTCACAGAAATTTTCCGGCACAATTCAGGTTATGCATGTCTTGCGTATATTTGTATTATATATTATATAAAGATGGCAAAAAGGCACAACAGTGATTAATTATTATACACCCAGCTGAGTAATAGTAATATGACAATTCATGAACGATATTATGTGCTTCTTTTTTTATGATCTTCAGTCTATCAATCAAACCAGAGAGAGAGAAATGGGGTTTAATGTCCACTCAACATAAACTAGGTCATTTCGGGACTAACATATGGTTCAATTTTATTTTCAATAATTAGCTTGCGTGTAGGGGTCTTTAGCAGTGGGAGGAAACATTATTTTAGAACTAATTTGGGGACCCCTTTAATATTGGGATCTCCTAGCTGCAACTCCGTCAGCAAACCTCCCTTCTAATCCAGCCAGTCTGTTAATAAGATTTGGGGATCACGTGGCTAAGTGGGTAAGACGCTGGCTCGCTAGCCTGGAGGTCGGGTGTTCGATCCCTGCATTGGCCATGAAAGTTCATCCAGATTTTCCAGCGTGGTTTCCCCTTGTCAGTGATGCAGGACGGAGGGCCCGACAAGGACAGCTGTCTAGTCGTTCGGATGGGACGAAAAACCGAGGTCCCGTGTACATATTGGCGTGCACGTAAAAGATCCCTTGGTACTTGGAATTCGATATAAGAGTAGGCCGTAGCGCCGCTGCCCGGGCAAAATTTCCCTCATACCACACTTTATGGCGTATGCCCGTCTTCATTAGCCCAGTTTAGTTGCAGAACAGTAGGACGTTAAACCCCATTTCATTTCATTTCATTTCATTTCGTTAATAAGATTTCCAGCCATAAATTCCAAATTTGAAGCTAAAAATATCAAGTTATTATTTCTTAAGAATTTTTCATCAAAGTTATTTGATTTACTGTAAGGGCAACACATTTCTTGCTCAAATTTTTCAAATATTATATTTGCTAGATAAATTTTTTCTTTTCAATTCATCTGACGAATTTTTGACCTTTTCAGCTAAATTGATTTTATCATTTTCGTGGCAACACTGTTTAATAAAGAAAAATAAAATGTTCCAATATTTTGATTTCTGTTCAACGAACACTGTTACCTAATCTTGTGTATTTACCACTAATTTAATTTTCTGACCACTGTTCAAAAATTAATCATTATACATCAATAATATATTGGATTATTTATTTTTTAACAGTGATCGAGACGAGAAACGCTTGTAAATTTGACACTCATTATCGAAATTGAATGATCAGCTTTAAATTGGACACAAGTACAAATTAGAGGATTTTAAATGATTTTTAGGAATTTCTAAACAAAGATTTGATCTTCTTTAAGTGGCATTTAGGTAATTGAAGAGTAACACACTAATACTATTTTATGGAATAACAATCACTGGTTTATTAACATGCAACGTTTCCACGACGATGATACTCTCATCTTTATCAAGCAAATGATGATTTGATATTAAATGAATGTAAAAGAAATTAGTGCTAGATACACAAGATTAAATGATACCCGGGTTATAGTGCAAGTTTAACTTCAAAATCTACATGTACCTGTATGAAAAAATATAATATGATTGTTTTTCCTCAGAATACTCTTAGTATAAAAACACAGCCTGAGCATTAAGTGAGGAATGGCAGAATATATTTATCAAACACAGCTTTAGTTCTATACCAATGGATATGCTGTACTCCAGGCTCGGTAAAAATATGGATGGCCTTTCTGTTATCAAGTGTTTTCAATCCAAACCAGTCGTTGATGTACCACTGTTAAAATAAACCATAAATATATTAAAAACATATGGATCTACTACTACTGAATTTATTAACATGCTACGCAGGTCCGTAACTAGCTCAGAGCAACGAGGGGGGCAGAAAGTGTTCTCTGGGGTGCTGTAATATTGACGGACAATGTTTATCTATTTTTTTAATGGTCTAAAAAAAAATTTCACGGGGTGGGGTGGGGGGGGGAGCGAATATTTTTGCGCTACGTTTCGATACACATACAGGTATTGTTACACATACAGGTATCGTTATCATCATGATAACGATATCTGTATGTGTACCGAAACGTAGCATGTTAATAAATTCAGAAGTAGTATATCCATATAAGTGTTTTTTATTTTTAATTTGTGAAATCTACTACCATCAATATTAGAATATACATAAAATGAAATGAAATGGGGTTTAACATCCTACTGTTCTGCTCCGACCGGGCTAATGAAGGTGGGCATACGCCATGCAGTGTGCTTTGAGGGGAATTTTGCCAGGGCAGCGGCACAATGGACTACTCTTATATCGAATTCCAACTGCCAAGAGATCTTTTACATGCATGCCAATGTGTACATGGGACGTCCGTTTTTCATCCCATCCATACGACTAGGACTAGACAGCTGTCCTTGTCAGGCCCTCCATCCTGACAAGGGGAAACCACATCGGAAAATCCCTATCAACTTTCTCTGCCAATGCAGGGATCCGATGATCTACCTCCTGATTAACAAGCCACTGTGGCTCCCCTGTGAACAATAGGTCCATTCCCTAAATTTCAGGTGTTATATGATATGCTCATTCCATCAACTTCTCAACATTTATCTATTCTCTGCTGAGGGAGGGGGGGGGAGGGGTGTTGGGGTTGGATTATGTATAACATATGAAGAGCGCGGGGGAAGAAAGATCTAAGTCACTTTTTCAACAAACCCCCGTTAATAGCGCTATTTGGTAGCAATTGTATAAGCTTTGTGTGGAACAATCAATTTCAGGTAAACACGATCGGAGTCACATCGAATCAAGGCCTTTCTGAAATGGCCTCCTGGACAAATACGTCCATCGTACCCTTTATTTGACCTTAATTTGGCTGAAAAGTGGAAGTTAGTTGTTGTACTGGTAATTATGATTCTTATTAAACATCATTTTGAAGTTGTAATTTAACCCACACGTTGTTTTGTTCCGTTAAGCATTCTCGTCCAAAAGTCTGTTTTGCTTTTTAAGCGAAAAGACAAAAATGTGACTTAGATCGTTCTTCCCCTGGACTCTTCATATATCTTTCACAAGAATAACGAATAATAATATATTTCTACAACAACTGGCAGGGTTTAACTTAACCTCCACTCAAAAACAAACTAGGTCATTCTGGGACTAGCATATGGTTCAATTTCATTTTAATCATTCGCTTGCACGTAGAGGTCTTTAGGAGTGGAAGGAAACTGGAGGACCCGGAGAAAACCCACGAGGTTGGACAGGCAACCAGGGAATCAAAACCACGCCAGTTGACTCAATGACAGACCTTATGATACAGTGCGCACGCATTAACCATTAGTCCAATCCACCCCTTGTCACAAAATAAGGAATTGAAAGAAATATAGAATTTCACCAGGAAGCTAGATTGAAATCATAATCTTTCTAAGTACTATCTTGTTCTCCATTGAAAGTTATTTCATAGCGTTTTCGTCTCTAAATGACATGAGAGAAAAGGGGTTTAACATCTACTCAGCACAAACTAAAGCATTTCGGGACTAACATATGGGTCAATTTTTATTTCAATAATTCACTTGCACATAGGGGTCTTTAGCAGTGGGAGGAAACTGGAGGACCCGGAGAGGTTGGACAGGCGATCCTACTCCTTGTCAAGTACAACTGGGAAATCGAAACCACGCTAGTTGACTCAATGATAGACCTTATGATACTATGCGCACATGCTTACCACTTGGCCATAACCCCCCCCTCCCCCATTTCTTTAAAGGGGAACTAGACATTCAAATGCTACCTTGAGCTTCTACTTATGCTAGATTCCGCACTGTCGTGTGATGTGTTACGATAGGATTGTCCCTAATGAGTCTATGATCTGGTACATGCAGATACGGTTCAATACGTTTTGATACAATCAACATGATTGCTATGAAGGAACTCAATGTTAAAGACCTGATAGGATCACTACGATTACTCAATCGTAGCGGGAATCATGATAGTAAGAACATAGCCTAAAGTTTTCTACAAGAGTTAATTTGACATTGGATTATCTTTGATATTTTGGGTGGGTTGGGTGGCTGAATGGTTAGCATGTGTTCGCTGTATCATAAGGCCTGTCATTGAGTCAACTGGCATGGTTTCGAATCCCTCGTTGTACGTGACAAGAAGTAGGGTCGTCTGTCCAACCTCGTGTGTTTTCTCTGGGTCCTCCTGTTTCCGACCACTGCTAAAGACCCCTGCACGCAAGCGAATTATTGAAATAAAATTAAACCATATGTTAGTCCCGAAGTGATCTAGTTTGTGTCGAGTGGACGTTAAACCCTATTTCTCTCTCTTTAGTTAAACATACATTATACAAGAGCTAAATCTGCCTACTGCTGGTCTTTCTTTAGGCCTAAAATGTTTTCTAAATGATTAATTAGACATTAATAATTAACTTATCCAGACCAAAATTAACTCTCGATGGCATCGCTAGCCTGCGAAATTTACTGGATTATTATTCGATTTGCTGCTCGATTTCCATTCATAATTTAATCATGAAATGGATGATCGAGACTATGTTTTTTATCGTACAGACTTTAGTAATGATGATCGAGGCAAGGCTGACATTTCAATCGCTTAATTCTTGGTTCAGAGTGGATCAATTTGACTGAAATGTTCAGCAAATTACCTTTACATTATCTAGTTTTTAACTATTATAATGAGAACAGCCAGCTCTTTATCTAATCTCCCATAATGTATCTTTAAGTAATAACTTATATATATACTTACTGGTTGCTGTCTCATATTCACAACTGTTTCATTGGCATTATAAAAATCCATGTGACTGAAACGGAATTTAATGTCTTGTGAACACATTACTTCATGTAATTTTCAGACTAGGATATGTTAATTTTCATATTTGTGATTAGTGTTTAATGTGTGGGGGTGGAGGGGGAGGTGGAGGGAGAGGGGAGAATTATGTCAGGACAGTGGCATTTCTGACTGAACAAGGGGTCTTTTATGTGCACGGCCCTGCAGACATAGATGGAGCTTGTTTTTAATTTGTCCAATCCAAATGATGAGGCAAACTGTCCTTGTGGTCCTTGCAGGTGCCACCCCTGTCAAGTGACAGTCTGCTTAAAAGATCATGGATGTTCTTATCAGCCGACTTTGGCTTAAAACCTGGGCCAGTGTATTAATGCTCAACAGTTGCAGCCCACATTATAAAAGTAACATGCTTTATATTTCTATTATATCAGAGATTTTGACAACATGAAACAGAAATGAAATGAAATGGGGTTTAACGTCCTACTGTTCTGCTCCTAACCTGGGCTAATGAAGATGGGCATACGCCATACAGTGTGCTATGAGGGATCTTTTACGTGCACGCCAATGTGTACACAGGACTTCGGTTTTTCATCCCATCCGAACGACTAGACAGCTGTCCTTGTCAGGCCTTCCATCCTGCATCACTGACAAGGGGAAACCACGCCGGAAAATCTGAATGAACTATCTTGGCCAATGCAAACATGAAACAGTTCTGGGAAGTAACTCCATACACCCTAAAAGTACACAAACTATTGCTTACCTTGACTGCCAAGGGGTGATAACTTCATCATCTGGTCCACCAATCATAACAAGATTTTTCAGTTTCAGGAAATTCTGTTTATATTCTGAAAATGAACAAGAACTATGACAAAATCTAGGATAAAATCCAAATTTTAGTAATGGATAATACTGGATTGATTTTAGTGCTCAGCCAATTCTACTAAAATTTGGATTATTATCTTTAGTTAAGATTTAGAGAGAGAGAGAGAAATTGGGTTTAACGTCCACTCGACACAAACTAGGTCATTTTGGGACTAACATATGGTTTAATTTTATTTCAATAATTCGCTTGCGCGTAGGAGTCTTTAGCAGTGGGAGGAACCCGGAGAAAACCCACAAGGTTGGACAGGCGACCCTACTCCTTGTTACGTACAACCGGGGATTCGAAACCACGCCAGTTGACTCAATGACAGACCTTGTGATACAGCACGCAAGTGCTTACCATTCGGCCATCCAACCCCCCTTAAGATTTAGAGAAACAGGGCCCAGATCTATATTTCATTTTTTTTTATACTTTTGATGGTCTACACTACATGAAGATCTGACTGGTTGTACTGGAAGGTCGCGTCAAGAGGTGTTATGAGCGGCTTTTGACCATATGACATCAGGCATTTGATTAACCAACCAGCGTTGATATTTCTAGTGGGTTACCCACAGTTCTGTGTATCTCACGCCAAAAACTCGTAGTCACAGATCGTTTCATTGGCTTATCCCACACTTCAACCAAAACGCCGGTAATATAACAACTGTTCCAGATCCTAGTGTAGTAAAGACATGTAAAATGAAATCTTAAACTATAAAAAACGAAACGAAATAGGATCCGAGTTGTAAGTCAACCCCAGTGATTGTTATAGGTTTCAAATCTCATCAACACCAAATTTTGGTGATTTTGAGACTAGCACATTATTTATTTGAACATAATTCCTAATAGAAATGAAATGGGGTTTAACGTTCTACTGTTCTGCTCCTAAACTGGGCTAATGAAGACGGGCATACGCCATACAGTGTGCTATGAGGGAAATTTTGCCCGGGCAGCAGCGCTACCGCCTACTCTTATATCAAATTCCAACTGCCAAGGGATCTTTTACGTACACGAAAATTTGTACACGGGACCTCCGTTTTTCATCCCATCAGAACGACCAGACAGCTGTCCTTGTCAGGCCCTCCGTCCTGCATCACTGACAAGGGGGAAACCACGCCAGAAAATCTGGATGAACTTTCTCGGCCAATGCAAGGATATAACATAATGACTTATGTCATAGAGGCGTCCTGCCATATTAAAATACGTGTTAGTGATTGTAACATAAACCTGTCGCTATCAATACCCGGCTGGAGATCTTGGTAGTATTCCTTATGTCATTGCGTAACTATAACTTGTTGTTGGCATGTCTTATCTAACTTTCTTTGTCTGATAAACTATATTGAATGTTAAACCTTCATATGGTGCTTGATACATTAGACAGGTGTCTAATGAGCTACTTTGTCTCGAATACGTTTATAAACTCAGAACAGAAACGAATCTTCAGGCGGGTCCAGGAGGCCATGCTAGGCGGGTGCCTAGATCAAGGTACCTAATGGATACGAGAGAAGTCCAGGCAGGGCATGAGAGCAGGCGGAGGCTAGGCGACGTCTGGTAGTTAACTCCAGGCCAGGCAGGTTTGGAGTTAAGACCGGACAACGGCCAACTAATGTAATTTAATCCTGGGTGTCTTTAACATTACGATGTTTGTACATAATATGTTAGAAGCAGAATAAAAGTATTAATAGAAGCTGAAACTAGTCTTGTCATCCGAACCTGATTAAAGAACCAATACTGTCACATATTAATTGGCGCCGCTGACCAGAGCAACGTTTGAAGTCCACCACTAGAAGACCACAGGCCACAGATATTAGTCTACACGGGTAAGTCTTTTTCTAATCCTACCATGGCCGGTTAATAATGACATTGTGCTATAATGTATTATAATTTAACTGGGAAATCAGCAGTTTATCATCACGCTTTATTAAATATCATGGTGTAGTTACTTAATTTAATATAACGTTCAAGCTTGTAGTGGAACAGTCCTTAACTATTTGTAGGAAAATGACTAAAACAAAATTGTATATATATTGTTTGTTAAACAATGGGTCATGTTGTTTTTAAAAGATTATAAATTATAATTGTTTGTTTTGAACACATATTTTGGCATTTAAAATTAGTATTAATAGGTTAATATCGAAAAGTAAAATGTTTTGTGATTGTTTAACTAGAATTGGGTTAACAGTATCGTAATTTGAAATTTAACCCAATAACATTCACACAGTATTACCGCGTTTATCTCTAAGGTTTTTTATTTGTTTTGTCTATACGTGTATATTACCCCAAGTGTTAATGGGATGGCCCGATATTTACGGGAAAGATTTTATTCGTGTTTAACGTAGTACCCCAAATGTTAATGGGATGACCCGATATGTAACGGGAGAAGTTTATGTTAAGTGGTTTAACCCCAGGAGGGTTGTGCTCGGATTTAAGAGCGAACGTATCGTCTTATTTTGTGTTGTGTTTAAAAATTATAGAGATAAACCGTTAGTTCTTTCAAAAATATCTTATTTAAGATTGGTTAAATGTGTTCAGATCATTCATTATTCTTGAGATAAAACAATATGACTCCCTAATTTCAATTGTATCCATGTAAATAATACTGTAAATATCGTTAGATCGATATCTAAAGTCAAATCTGTTCCACTTGCTAATTTGATTAACTATTAATTAAGTTCACTCCATGATATATATGATAAGCAGATGATAAAACTTCGGCACGGGTGGCAGTTAATACTCTTCATATGCACATGTCATAACACGCCGTTTTGCCAGACGGTATGGAAAATGAAAAGACTACCGGTCAATAAGAAGAGCTGAACTAAACGGAGCAGGGAATATTCTGACCCCTCAACATTACTGGAACGAGGAAGGGCATCATATGTACCCCACCCCTACAGTTGGCTACGACAGTGCAGTAGCGGTCTAAGAAGATAATTACAGTAGTTTGTGTTCGCGATTCCACCATTTATGTGAATAATAAGAGTAGTCTGTGTTTGTAATTCCAGGATCTCGTTTGTTTTTTTTTTTCATTGACTCGCGTATGTGACCGATTGTGTGTATATAACTTTTAAGTTCGTGTGTTTTTCATTGACCTTTTCATTTTGTTTAAAGACATTTTTGGATATTATGACATTTTACATGTATATATAACTTTTAAATTCGTGTGTGTTTCATTTACCTTTTCTTTTTGTTTATAGACATTTTTGTATACGACATTTTACGAGTGTTGTTTGTTTTTATATATTTTTTCATTATTATTATTGTTGTTTATATCTTAATAAGAGTAGTAATTATCGACTCCATAGGTATCTAATTTTGTAATAGTCTTTAAAAGTTATTTCATATAATTCATAACTTTATTCAAACAAAGAGAGGTATATAACATAATGACTTATGTCATAGAGGCGTCCTGCCATATTAAAATACGTGTTAGTGATTGTAACATAAACCTGTCGCTATCAATACCCGGCTGGAGATCTTGGTAGTATTCCTTATGTCATTGCGTAACTATAACTTGTTGTTGGCATGTCTTATCTAACTTTCTTTGTCTGATAAACTATATTGAATGTTAAACCTTCATATGGTGCTTGATACATTAGACAGGTGTCTAATGAGCTACTTTGTCTCGAATACGTTTATAAACTCAGAACAGAAACGAATCTTCAGGCGGGTCCAGGAGGCCATGCTAGGCGGGTGCCTAGATCAAGGTACCTAATGGATACGAGAGAAGTCCAGGCAGGGCATGAGAGCAGGCGGAGGCTAGGCGACGTCTGGTAGTTAACTCCAGGCCAGGCAGGTTTGGAGTTAAGACCGGACAACGGCCAACTAATGTAATTTAATCCTGGGTGTCTTTAACATTACGATGTTTGTACATAATATGTTAGAAGCAGAATAAAAGTATTAATAGAAGCTGAAACTAGTCTTGTCATCCGAACCTGATTAAAGAACCAATACTGTCACAAGGATTTGAACACTCGACCTCCAGGCTAGCGAGCCAGGGTCTTATCCACTTGGCCACGTGATCCTCAATTCCTAATAGCAAGTTGCATAATTTAACATACAATATTTACATAAAAATATAAATTATACATTATAATAAAATTGGCAAAACAGGTAATTTACCTTGACTTTTAGGATTAAAAGTTTGATTATTGAGGATAGCCAGAAAGTTTGAATATTTTAAATACAACTGTTGATGATGAGGATCTGTAATAATAAAACATTATGTTATAATAATAAAACATTATGTTGTAATAATAAAATGTTATGTTGTAATAATAAAACATTATGTTGTAATAATAATAATAAAACATTATGTTATAATAATAATAATAAAACATTATGTTATAATAATAATAATAAAACATTATGTTATAATAATAATAATAATAATAATAATAATAATAATAATAATAAAACATTATGTTATAATAATAATAATAAAACATTATGTTATAATAATAAAACATTATGTTATAATAATAAAACATTATGTTATAATAATAAAACATTATGTTATAATAATAAAACATTATGTTATAATAATAAAACATTATGTTATAATAATAAAACATTATGTTATAATAATAAAACATTATGTTATAATAATAAAACATTATGTTATAATAAAAAAACAAAACAAAAACAAAACATGTTATAATAATAAAACATTATGTTATAATAATAAAACATTATGTTATAATAATAGAACATGGTATAATAATAAAACATCATGTTGAAATAAAATGTAATAATAAAACATTATGTTGTTATAATAAAATATTATGTTATAATAATAAAACATTATGTTATAATAATACAACATTATGTTATAAAAAGAAAACATTATATTGTTATAATAAATTGTTACTTTAAAATAATAAAGCATTATGTTATTTTAGTAAATTTTACAATGTGAATTTATTTTTTTTAAAACATCATATGGCAACTAAGAACACAACATTTGTATATATAGTATAACATTGCCACATGTTTCTCTTGTACTTGAAACTGATAAAAGAATACTTGTCGAAACATTGCGCTAAACTTGTGCTTAAAACTGACAAGACAATACTTGCTGAACCATTGTGCTATATGAATAACAGAGTGAGAGAGTAATGGGGTTTAATGTCCACTCGACATTTCAGGACTAACATATGGTTTAATTTTATTTCAATAATTCACTTGTGCGTAGGGGTCTTTAGCAGTGGGAGGAAACCAGAGGACAAGGAGAAAATCCACGAGGTTGGATACGACCCTACTCCTTGTCATATGAATAACAACCAGTGGCTGCATTCCATATAAATGTTTGTTGTGTTTTATTGTGTTCAATCCTTAAAGGAGCTAAATGGCTAATATTTGCGACCCAGAAATTGACAAAAGTGGGTCGCAACGCATATAATACTGTAATATGAATGTATATAAACTGATTTACATTCAATGGTTTCCGTTTTTACTCCAATTTCAAATCAGTTATGTTCGGCGAAATAAGCCAGCAGTCTCAAGCGAGTGCAAATTTCTAGCGTCTGGTTATTCCAGTCTACATACGCCGTTTGATTTGGTGCAATGTGTCTAGCCTCGTCCCTCTTGATACAACTGGGGCTGAAGCGCATTATGGTACACGATTCGTGTACCAATGGTAAAATTTTTATTTTGTCTTAAATATTGGATATCAAAAGCCCATCTTTTTCCGGTAAGATCATAACATGAGTGTTGATTTAATTTGATAAATAAATCGTGTTTTCAATGTTGAAGATTTTGGATGATATTGAGTTAGCGACTTAGCTACTTTAAGACAAAATAAACATTTTACACGAATCGTGTGCCATACTGCACAAGTCATGTCAAACGGTGACCGCATATTCTTATCTGGAAAGCATGCGCAATAAATACTATCGGTGTAGACTGGAATAACCAGTCGTTCGAGATTGCTTTTCGATTGAGACTTTTGACGTATTTCTCCGAACATAACTGATTTGAAATTAGCGTAAAAATGGAAACGATTGAATGTAAATTAGATTATACACATTCATATTACATTATTATATGCGTTGTGACCCATTTATGCCAATTTCTAGGTCCCCAATATTAGCGATTTAGCTCCTTTAATTGTCACTGAAGGATTATATGACGAGTTGAGTATACAATGTTTTTATTTCTGTATTTGAAGTTTCATATTAAGACTTAACATCTAAATCACATCCATGTATTAACAACTAAATCACATCCATGTATTAACTAAATCACATCCATGTATTAACAACTAAATCACATCCATGTATTAACATCTAAATCACATCCATGTACAACTAAATCACATCCAATAAATTACATGTATCGAGATTGTTTGTCTGTTGATAGAGAGAGAGAGAGAGAGAAAAATGGGGTTTAACGACCACTCGACACAAACTAGGTCATTTTGGGACTAACATATGGTTTAATTTTTATTTCAATAATTCACTTGCGCGTAGGGGTCTTTAGCAGTGGGAGGAAAATGGAGGAACCGGAGAAAACCCACAAGATTGGACAGGCGACCCTACTCCTTGTCACGTACAACCGGGGAATCGAAACCCTGCCAGTTGTTGTCTGTTGATACACGGATGTGATTTAAAGGGAATAACAGTTTTTTTAATTGTATGAAATCTGTAAGATTATACTTCATTAACTTCAATAATATTAATGGTAGATGTAGATGTATCAGCATATATTTCTCACACAATGAATGGCAGGTAAGATGTTTTTTACAGACTTAACATTCAGTAGCACAACAAGATCCTTACAGGTTGTTTATGAAATGCCTATGTTATATTATATCATTAAGTAAAGACATAAATTATAAATACCATTCCAATAATTAGCTACAGACCATTTCTGTCCTCCTGTACTATAAAAATATCTGAAATAAAACAAAAATATTTATTTAAACGATTAATATAAACTATTATATAATGTTCTTTAGTTTGGAATGAACTATGCGTGGGGTTTATGGTTCAATTTTATTTCAATAATTATATGGGAGGAAACCGGAGGACCCAGAGAAAACCCATGAGGTTGGGCAGGCAACCCCTACAACCGGGGAATCATAAAATATTTTCATTAAATCAAAACTTACTTATATATCTCAGACTTGACATAATTTGGAAAAAAATACTTTAAATATCGGGTGTCTGAAAAAAGAAGAAACATTGGATATAGGTATCTAAGAGAAAAGATGAAAAAATTATAATTTAGTAAAACATAAAATTATTGTGGACAAGAATATCTCTAATTGTATAAAATTATACAATGTTAGAATATTTCTAATAGTATAAAATTATAGTGGTCAATGTTAGAATATCTCTAAAAGTATAATGTGTAATGAAGCGCGATATAAATCGAACAATAATAATAATAATAATAATTATAGTGGTCAATTGACGGAAGAATATCTTTAATAGTATAAAATTATTTCATCATTTCCAGTGTTAGATGTTATTTTCATTTTCGCTACATTACCTAAAAGGAATAACAATTTTTCTTTTATTATTCATAGATTTTATTTCGTCCCTACTGTATCATTGAGATCCACGCTGACCTGCATGTTCCAGGGATTCTTCCACCCATTACTACTACTTGAGTAAGAAATATATTCATCGCAGTCTTGGAATTTTTTAATTTTATATTTGGTAAAATTCTTGAAGAAAAGAATGTGATGATAAGGTATCTTACCTCCATATTGTCCCATTAAAGGTGAACTCAGTGCTATAAAATTCTCTACATTATGATTGAGTACTGATAACAAACCTCTACAAACCAAACCACCTGTCAATAAAAACAAATATACATAGATAGTACTGTCACCTTTACTTATCATAAGATTATAGAGTTTTACTTATCTTCTTGTCCTACGAATGCTATAGATTATGAAGAGTGAAAATCATAGGCGTACGGGCTCGATGACAGTTAGGGGGGCAGAACCCGAAATGCCCGAAAAAATTTCGGGTTTACAGACAACAGCGCCGGTCTTCCTCGAGAGGAGAAGAAGCAGAGCTTACCTTGTATGGACCACCCCCCCCCCTGCAAACACGTTTTACTGCTATTCCAGCCTGTAAAATTAGTGTTTTATTAGATTTCGGGCACTTTATTTTGCCAAGTACTTGAAATAATCTTTTATCCATCTGCCCGAAAAGTCAGCTTGCCCGAAAGTTAGGGGGGCAGCTGCCCCCCCCTGCCCCCCTGCCTCGTACGCCTATGGTGAAAATCAGTTTAAAGGACTCCAGCCACAATCTGATTAAAACACAGATCCTATTTTGTTTCATTTTTTATATTGAGGGATTAGCCAATGAAATGGTCTGTCTCAGCGAGTTCTTGGCATGCGATGCACAGAACCATGGGTAAACCACTATAAATGTTAACGCTGATTGCTTAATCAATGTCTGACATCATAGGGTCAAAAGTCGCTTGTACAACCCCTGACACAACCTTCCAGTACAACTGGTCAGATCTTCATGTAGTGTAGGCCATCGAAAGTATAAAAAAACGAAACGAAATATAGATCTATGCCCCTAAAAGATCCCTTGGCAGATGGAATTCGATATAAAGAGTAGACAGTAGCGTCGCTGTCCGGGCAAAATTTCCTTCATAGCACACTGTATGGTGTATGCCCATCTTCATTAGGAGCAGAACAGTAGGACGTTAAACTTTAAATTTACAACTAGATCTACATTACTGACAGAAAAATTTATAATCTTATCTTAATAAGAGAGAGAGAGAGAAATGGGGTTTAACGTCCACTCGACACAAACTAGGTCATTTTGGGACTTGCGCGTAGGGGTCTTTAGCAGTGGGAGGAAACTGGAGGACCCAGAGAAAACCCATGAGGTTGGACAGGCGACCCTACTCCTTGCCACGTACAACCGGGGATTCGTAACCATGTCAGTCGACTCAATGACAGACTTTATGATACAGCGCACGCACGCTAACCATTCAGCCATCCAACCCCCTATCTTATTAAGAACCAGCGTTTGCCAGGCAGGATACACCCACATTTTGCAAAAGATGGATAGAGAACAAGCTAAACCACCAGCGGCTGCCAGACAAGATAAGCCCACATTTTGCAAGAGATGGATAGAGAACAATCTAAAAACAAAAGAGATTTTTCGAACAATCAGGGGCCATAATCCAGAAAGTTCTGGTCTGAAATGCGCAAATATCGAAATGAACTGACATCTTTGGGATATAAAGATATATTTTAAGTTTCATCATAATCGGATAAAAATTGTGACCTGTAGAGTGTCCACAAACAAATTGTGGACGGACATATGAAAATGTGGGCGTATAATAATAAACTCAGAGATCCAAAATAATTCAACTAGAATTAATTCTATATTGAACTCATTCATGTCTATAAAGGAAAATGCAATCATTTTGCATATTCATTTCGGTGTTACAGATGTTGCATACCATTTGAGAATGTTGCAATCTGATTGAAACACAGATCCTATTTCGTTTCGTCTTTTTTATAGTTCAAAATTCCGTTTTACTTGTCTTGCCTTTACTACACTAGGATCTAGAAGAGTTGTTATATAACCCACGTTCTGAATGATGTGATGGATTAGCCAATGAAACCGTCTGTTACAACAAGTTTTTGGCGTAAGGTGCACAGAACTGTGTTTAACCCATTAGAAACATCAACGCTGATAGGTTAATCAAATGTTTGATGTCATAGGGTCGAAAGTCGCTCGTATGACCCCTGATGCGACCTTCATGTAGTAGAGGCCATCGAAAGTATAAAAAAAACAAAACGAAATATTGATTTGTATTTTAATCAGATTGGTGTAGCTTTTTCCATGGAAAACGTGATATTTTCAGAAATATGCAAATGACTCAACTGAACTGAAATGGGGTTTAACGTCCTACTGTTCTGCTCCTAAACTGGGCCAATGAAGTGTGCTATGAGGGAAATTTAATATATATTAGTAATCCCAAATCACAATGTCGATACCAGAGATAAGTTTACCCTTAATTTAGCTCTGCTAAAACTCACTGACCATTAATCAGTGTGAAATCGGCTCCTAAGCTCAACCCCCAGTGGCTACTGATTTGTTAAAATGAAATGCTGCCAATTTCTCGACATTAGGCATTGATACACTGCATGAGTTACATACATGTACTAATGATCCTTGGAACATTTTCCACATCTTGACATCAAAATTTCATTCGAAAACCGCCAAGTTAATGATTTACCGGGAACTATTTTTAGTGCACATGGTGAAGAAACACAAGTTTGAGCTGCCAACTTGGATCTTTGTGAAGCGGCTGACGGAAGGATACATCACGTGACGTTCAAAATGGCCAGTTAGTTTTACCAGAGCTAAACGAGGGGTAAAGTTATCTCTGGGATCGCGATTGCCCATATCATTTACCTTGTGAAAAACATATTAAAATAGTTCCCTGTGGGCTGGAGTTCATAACTTTCTGTACATCAGGCATAATCTTGTGAACTTGATCCCATATTGGAGTTAAACTCTTATAATTATCAAACATATTTATAGCTGTTACATTAGTTCCTGGATGTGCCTGACAAATAGAAAATATGTGTGGTTTTATAGTCGAGAGCGCGACATTGCGTAATATATTGAAACAACACAAGTGACGTCATTCCCGAGCTGTTTCAATATATTACACAATGTCTTAAGCTCGAGACCATTAAACAACTTAAAATACAGACACTTGCACATGCTTTGCAATAGAATATGTCACTAGTATAAATAATGTACCCTTGACACATTGCTCGTACAATTATTTCAGGGGATCACGTGGCTAAGTGGGTAAGACCCTGGCTCGCTAGCCTGGAGGTCGGGTGTTCGATCCCTGCATTGGCCGAGAAAGTGCATTCAGATTTTCCGGCGTGGTTTCCCCTTGTCAGTGATGCAGGATGGAGGGCCTAACAAAGACAGCAGTCTAGTCATTCGGATGGGACGAAAAACCGAGGTCCCGTGTACACATTGGCGTGCACGTAAAAGATCTCTTGGCAGTTGGAATTCGATATAAGAGAAGGCTGTAGCGCCGCAGCCCGGGCAAAATTTCCCTCATAGCGTACATATTCTCTACTAGGTTCCCACTATCACGATACGATTGATATCGTGGAGTAATCGTGGAGATCCTATCATATATTGGGGTCATTCGTAGCAACTGTGTTGATCGTATCCGAACATATCTGCACGTACCAGAGCGTGGACTTAATAGGAACATTCCTATCGTAATGCATCGCACGACAGTGGGGAACCTAGCTGTTTCAACAATATTCTACAAGTTTATATAACACAAACTGTGAGACTAATAAGCTTATACATGTATGGTGACTTGCAAGTGAGAGAGAGAGAGAGAAACAAATGGGGTTTAACGTCCACTCAACGCAAACTAGGTCATTTCAGGACTTACTATATATATATGGTTCAATTTCATTTCAATAATTAGCTTGCGCATAGGGATCCTTAGCAGTGGGAGGAAACCGGAAAAAAACAGGAAAAAACCCACGAGAATGGACTCTACTCCTTGTCATGTATAACCAGGGGATCGAAACCACGCCAGCTGATTCACCATGGTGACATGCATTTCAATTTTCAATAGTTATGTATGCAATCCAAGGGAAAAGAATTTTGCCTTGAAAGTGGCGCTTCCATCCACTCTTCTTTGATTTCTAACATCATGGAATCCTTTACATGCTCACCAATGTTTTTTTGTCCCATCCGAAGGAATGGACGCACTTTCCTTCCCGTTAGTCAGAATACCTGAATAAGTGTATATTTTACCTTTTGAATCCATGCTATCAATTCAATATCTTCTGATGGTCCCGCAAAAATACCATGCATAAATATGACATTTTTATACGTAGCACAGTTTACAGTTATGATGAGACCAGTTATAAAAACAGTTAAAATAATCAACACTTTCATTTTCTTCTAGTCTGAAAAAAAAACAAACCCCAGCAAAAATTAAACAGATAATTTAAAAACAGCAAAGAGAGAGAGAGAGAGAGAGAGAGAGAGAGAAAGAGAGAGAGAGAGTTTAAGGTCAACTAGACACAAACTAGGTCATTAAGGACTAACATATTGTTCAATTTTATTTCAATAATTCGCTTGTGTATAGGGATCTTTAGCAGTGGGAGGAAACCGGAGACACGAAGAAAACCCACGAGGTTGGACAGGTGACCCTATTCCTTGTCACATACAACCGGGTAATCGAAACCACGCTAGTTGACTCAATGACAGACCTTATGATACAGCACGCACACCATTCGGACATCCACACCCCCAAACCCCAAAGAAATGTCCACAATCATATTTACAGTACATCTGATCCTTCTCTTGTAAACTCACCAAATCTGTTTAAAATACAGATGCATAGTTCGTTTCGTTTTTTATACTTTCGATGGCCTACACTACATGATGATCTGACTTTTTGTAGTGGAAGGTCACGTCAAGAGTCATACGAGCGGCTTTTGACCCTATGATGTCAGACATTTGACTTTCCAACGTGGGCCTGACAGGAACAGCTGTCTAGTCATTCGGATGGGACTGAAAACCGAGGTCTCGTGTATACATTGGCATGCACATAATAGATCCCTTGGCAGTTGGATTTCAAAATAAGAGTAGGCCATAGTGCCGCTGCCTGGGCAAAATTTCCCTCCTAGCACACTGTATGGCATATGCCTGTCTTCATTAGCTCATTTCATTTCAGCCGTTCAACTTTGCAATAAGGTAACACGATGAATTGTTGGGTTAGTTATTCATTTTCTTCAGTAGGCCTACAGTAGCCCTACAGTAGCCGAGTAGGTTAGGTAGACCTACCGGTAAACAGTTTAATTGTGATCATAATTGGACTGGCAACCACTAAATTTCTGTAACAAATTGCCAGTTTAGTTTCCCAATGTAAAACTAGTAGTTATCAAACCCAAAACATCAAAATATATACCAATGTTTTAACTACATTTAAAACTAGTAGTTTTCAAACCCAAAACATCAAAATATATACCAATGTTTTAACTACATTTAAAACTAGTAGTTTTCAAACCCAAAACATAAAAATATATACCAATGTTTTAGCTACATTTTTGTATCTATAGCCACTATTGGCACTCTCCCTCATTCTTATTCCACAGCATTAACCTCAGAGTCATTCACCACAATACTTTTAGTAACTTACCCCTATGGAATTGTTATAAAATAAGACTACTAAGTACTTAAAGATATCAACTTTATCTGTGTAATATTTTAACAGTGCTAGTCTGTAAGTGATAAGGAAGGACGTTAGGTTAGTTTCGAACTGATAAGAAGAGTCATCATCATATTATATGACAAACCCCCAATAATTAATAACGCCAATTACGGTATACAATATATTAAACGAAACTAAAGTTTCCTTATTTAATTACCAATTTCTTTTTAGAAAAAGCTTCCTGATGTATGATTAAGAAAGTTGACAACAGAATGTCCTGTCTTAATAATATTTTTATTATCCTCATTCACCATTTCAAATTTCCTTCCTCATGATTGTTAGTGTGACATTAATGTCATAATGTCAAGATCTTTTGTTGAAAACAATGAGAGATAACTCTTATTTCAGGGGAGGCAACTCCACTTTCTACAACTGGACTCAGAACTAGCAATTATTTGCCCATTGACTTCAATTTTAAATAGCTGTAACATCACAGGCTGTAGCTTTTTGCTCAATATTCCGTTGGTTCCAATCTCTATAGGCACAATGGGGACAACATTTGGCAATCTCCTCATCATAATTTTGTAGGGGGTTGACCATTTAGATTTTTTGCTACGGGGATTTGAAGTTGACTGGGGTGAAAATCTCACTTCCGACACAATGATTGCTCTGCAGAAAGACACTTAATTTACACCCCCTATCCCTCCGCTGTAATATCATCAGTATCACCCAAAACTGCTATGAAATTGCAAATTTGACCCCTTTTCTCCAATTCTAGACCAAAAAGTCAACCCAAAAATGCAGGAAGAGGGGAGAAAAAATTTAAGGGCAGAGATCAAAAATACTCTACTTGTGTGCATAGAATATTTCATAATTTTGAAGGGAAGAGATAAGCTAAACTAAGCATTTATATTTATTTATTCATTTTCATGCATGTCGAAATGAGTTCTTGCTATATATATTATTCTTTTAGAAAACAAATAGGTCAAAACAATGGATAGTGCATTATTTGTGAAAATGCCCGATAAGATAGCCCAGTCCAGCTGTGACTTACACATAGGCATAGGGGCTCGATGACAGTTAGGGGGGCAGAACCCGAAATGCCCGAAAAAATTTCGGGTTTACAGACAGCAGCGACCTTGTATACCCCCCCCTCCCCTAAAGACAATTTTGGAATATTTGACGGCTGCAAACACGTTTTCCTGCTATTGCAGCCGTTGAACAAAGCAACTTCAAAGTGGTCTAATATAGCCTAATTAAGGTGGCTGACTCGGAATTCCAATCAATCGTTTACAGTCCTCGAAGACGGGACCGTTAGGAGTAAATTTTGAAAATTTAACTGCCGTAAACGCGTTTTCCCGATATTTCAGCCAGTGAACAAAGCAACTTCAAGCGGTCTAATATAGCCTAATTAATTTTGTGGCTGACTCGAATTCCAATCAATCGTTTACAGTCCTTGAAGACGGGACCGTTTGGAGAAAATTTTGAAAATTTAACTGTCGCAAACGTGTTTTCCTGCTATTTCAGCCGGTGAACAAAGCAACTTCAAAGTGGTCGAATATATATTATAGCCTTATTAAGGTGGCTGACTCGAATTCCAATCAATCGTTTACAGTCAACGAAGACGGGACCGTTGGGAGAAAATTTTGAAAATGTAACTGCCGCAAACGCGTTTTCCTGTTATTCCAGTCTGTGAATACAGCAACTTCAATTTGGTCCAATATAGCCTACCTGGCTGACCCGAATTCCAAACAACCAATCAATCGTCGCGCGGTATATGGAGGCCTCAACCTCCCGGAGAAAAATTTGAAAATTTAATCACCGTAAATGCGTTTTCTACTATTCTAGCCCGTGTAAGCAACTCCAAAAGTATCCAATGGTTTTGTAACTGAAATCCCACTCTGAATTCTAACCATCCAATCAGACTGTTGCATCTGCATTCACAAATAATAATCGATGCCTGAAAAATGTCGCACAAAGTAGAGTGGCTCCAGACAAAATGTTTTAATCAAACTCAGTACAAATTCGTGATATTCAATTACAAGAAAAGTAAAATTAGTGTTTTATTAGGGCTCGGTGACAGTTAGGGAAGCAAAACTAGAAATGCCCGAAAAATTTCGGATTTATAGACAGCGGCACCGGTTTTCTTTGAGAGGCGAATGACCTGCCAATAAAATTTTTGAATATTTTACGGTCGCAAACGCGTTTTACTGCTAGTTTCCTCTGCGGCTTTCCGGCCCGATGCCCGTTTTTAGGGCAATACCTATTTTCGGGCAATACCGTTTTTTCGGGCATACCTATCATAAGAGAGCTTCGGGCATATGCAGTGGACAAGAAAAAGACGAGAAAATACTTTTCGGGCAGTGTGGATCTCATAGAAATAAGTTAGTTATATTTTTTCTCTAAACGTTAATAGAAAAAAGAAAAAAAGGTCGCCTATGGACTTACAGACAAAGATCTGGCCCTGCAGCATCACATTATCAATTTTATTGAAACTATGGTACATACTGGTACGGTACATACTGGTACGGCAGCTATCAAAATAATAACTTCTCAATTTTACCATACTCCTAGCAGTGTTTGGTTTGATTAGACTGAATTTTCCTAGTTGAAACAAACAAGAGAAGAGAGGGAGAGAGAGAGAGAGAGGGGAGAGAGAGAGAAGAGAGGGAGAGAGAGAGAAGAGAGAGAGGGATGTGGTTTAACCTCTACTTGACACAAACTAGGTCATTTTGGGACTAACATATGGTTCAATTTTATTTCATTAATTCATTTGCAGTAGGCATCACTGGCAGTGGGAGCACCCAGAGAAAACCTTTGAGGTTGAACAAGTGACTCTACTCCTTGTCAGTACAACCCAGGAATCGAAACCACGCCAGTTGACTAAATGACAGACCCCTCACCCCGCCCTGAATCAAATGTCACACGCCCACCACCCCACTTCCACCTAATAAAAAAAAAGTAGTACTAATAATCAAATAGATCTGCATTTTTTTTTTATCCATTTATGTTGAAAATAAAAATAACATCATTTAATTAATTACAGGTCAGCCTTTTTCGGGTGAGGTTACCTTACGGTCATATATGCAAATTCATAAAATTGTTTGCTTACTTGCTCAGCCAATATAAATTCTTTAAATGTTCTTTAATATTTACAGGGCTAGGCAGATTGTGACTTGACTGGTTACTGGCCATGCAGCTAGCCCCCAATGCAATCCCCTATATAGTAGTAAGTGCAGGGTGACTACTGCACCACACACAATTACACAAAATAAATCTACAGACAAGACAAAATATGCAGAAATCACAAACAAATGTACATATCAGATTAAGTGAATGGATCACACTTAAGAAAGAAACAGAATCAGGATTACGCACAGTTTCTAAACATACAGTACATGCCCCCCCCTCCTCACACACTAAACTCCACCATTCTTGCATTTGTCAGTATAACACTATGAAGACATTTCGTGCTCAGCTGTTTCTTAATACCTATTACAATTTCTTGTTTTCTGAATGAAATGAAATGGGGTTAACGTCCGAACTGGGCTAATGAAGATGGGCATACACTATACAGTGTGCTATGAGGGAAATTTTGCCCGGACAGTGGCACTGTAGCCTACTCTTATATTGAATTCCAACTGCCAAGGAATCTTTTACGTGCATGTTAATGTGTACACGAGACCTCAGTTTTTCGTGCCATCCGAACGACTAGACAGCTGTCCTTGTCAGTGTTTTCCTAATGAACAATGACCAGTACCAGTACTTTTCCTTTAGTATTGTTCAGGAATCTCACAAACGAGAGACAGAAATGGGGTTTAAGGTCCATTCGACACAAACTAGGTCATTTCGGGACTAACATATGGTTTAATTTTATTTCAATAATTCGCTTGCGCGTAGGGGTCTTTAGCAGTGGGAGGAAACCTCATAAAAGAACTTAGAAACATCATTCATGTCTTTCAAAATATATATAATAAAAAAAAACCCCGAAAACAACACTCAATTTAAATCCAATAACTGTATTTTACATATATAGATTTTGAGCAAATTGATAAAAGTCTACAAAATAATTCAATAATTATAAATCATCAGCACTGTCAGTAAATAAATAAATAATATAGCTTTAATATCTAAAAATATTTCATAAAAAAGGTTCTTAAAAACAGAAATGCACTAGATTTGGACTAATAAAAACACAATATGTTTTATAACCATTTAACATAATGATAGTTTACTGGCTTCAATTCAGTTGGACAGATTATCTCAGGAAATTGTTGGATATGGCATAAAAAATTTTGCTATAGTTGCTAAGGCGATAACATAATAAGTTGCTAATCATGGTATTACTATAATAAATAGTTTTACATACAGTTCTAAATAAATAATATCACACAAATTAATTGAGATCATTTTTATAGTCTATATTATTATCATCCTTTGATGTAGGATGTTGGCGTACCATTATTTCAACGGTCCTCTTGTTGTTACAATATATTACTTAATATCTCGCTCTTGACCATTAAACAATACATAATGTAATAAACACAAAACCATAATATGTAACACATTTACTGTTTTAATTAAAGCGACGTTTCGTTGAGGGTTTTCTCAACGTTATCAAGCAAATGATGATGAAAATACTATACAGAAGATTATAATTATAATCAGTTGGTTTGGTAATTATACATTATCATTACATGATAATTGGTATTGGTTTAATAAACATAAAAACAAGCAGTTGCCATGCAAGATATGCCCATATTTTGCAATGGATTGACAGAGAACAAGCTAAAAAAAAAAGTGATTTTTCGTACAATCAGGGCCATAATCCATAAAGTTAAGAGTCTGATACCTGGAATTATCGAAAGGAACCTATATCTTTGAAATTCAAACTCAGCTGCCATTGTGGTGTAACGGTTATATATTTAAACATGTTTTAAAATTAGATAAAAATTGTGACCTCTAGAGGGTGCACAAGCTAAAATTGTGATTCTTCATACAATCAGGGGCCATAATCCAGGAAGTTATGGTCAGATATACGCAAATATTTACAAGAACTGAGATCTTTGGGATATAAACATATATTTTAAGTTTAATCAAAATTGGATAAAAATTGTGACCTCCACAAGCTAAAAACATGATTGTTCGTTCAATCAAGGGCCATAATCCATGAAGTAACCGTCCAAAATCCAAAGGAACCAAGAGCTTTGGGAGACAGACCTATATTTCAAGTTTCGTCAAATCTGGAGAAAAATTGTGACCTGTGGAGTGTCCACAATCAAAGTGTGGATGGACAGATGTCTGGACAGGGGTGAAGACAATATATGAAAATGTGGGCGTATAAAAAATAAAATTTCAAAATAGAAGTATAAATGGATGGATTTCAGTTATCAGATAGCAGTATACATGTAAATGGATTTAAGTTACTAGACAGCAGTATACATGTAAATGGATTTAGGTAAGAAATCAGTACACATGTAAATGGATTTAAGTTAGAAATCAGTACACATGTAAATGGATTTAAGTTAGAAAGCAGTATACATGTAAATGGGTGGATGGATTCAATATTAGATAGGAGTGTAAAATCAATAAAGATATTATTAAATTTATACTTCTTCTCACTATAATACAGAGAGAAAGCCATTTTGGGACTAACACATGTTTCAATTTTATTTCAATAATTCGCTTGCCCGTAGGGGTCTTTAGCAGTGGGAGGAAACCGGAGGACCCAGAGAAAACCCACGAGGTTGGACAGGTGACCCTACTCCTTGTCACGTACAACTGGGGAATCGAAACCACACCAGCTGACTCAATGACAGCGCGCACGTGCTAACCATTTAGCCAGCCATCCACCCTGGGTCATAACAGAAATTCAATACTTCTTCATCTCACTTATGTAAACAATATATATAAATTTTAAAATGATTGGATGGTAAATGAAGAATGGTCTCAAGAAATTGTAGTGGATAACTGACATTCGGATTAAAACACAGATCCTATTTCGTTTCGTTTTTATTGTTCAAAATTCCGTTTTACTTGTCTTTACTACACTAGGATCTGGAAGAGTTGTTAGCATTGACGTGTTCTGAATAGTGTGAGGTATTAGCCAATGAAACCGGTCTGTTACGGCGAGCTTTAGGTGTGTTTTGCACGGAACTTTGGGTAATCCACTAGTAACACTAATGCTGATTGGTTAATCAAATATCTTACGTCATAGGCTTACTTGCCGCTCGTATGACCTCTGACGTGACCTATCGCAACAACTGGTCAGATCTTCATGTAATGTAGGCCATCGAAAGTATAAAAAACGAAACGAAATATAGATCTGTATTTTAATTAGATTGGGATAACTGACTGATGGGGAGATGATAATATGTGGGACTAACAAATTAAATATGATATTTACCATCTGTCAATGTGATTTCATGTTATGAGACAGTTGATTTATAAATCTATAATAGGTACACCTCAACAATACTGAGACACATGGTCCAATAAATCATCTTGTTATATTGATAGAGATCACCGAATTAATTTATTCATTTATAAATCTAAAATACACCTCAATAATACTGAGACGCATGGTCCAATATATCACCAAATTTATTTATTCATTAATAAATTAATTAATAAATTATCTCGTTATGTAGATATCATCAAATTAATTAATTTATGCATCTATAATTAAAAATGTCTATTTGCAGTAATTTATGCAATTATATTAAATTTTAAAAAAAAAATTAATCTCAATTCAATAAAAAATAAAATATACATATAATTTATAATAAATATATTAAATACAATAATAAACAATATCTTATTGTTTTTGTCACCATAAATTTGTAAAATATAATATTTCTCAACAATAAAACATTATAAATCTTACCAAACGTATCTTCTGAGCATAAAAAAACTCATTCATAAAAATCATATCATGCGTAAATATAAATCTGCAGGTTTAAAAATTATACTTTTTTCTACAAAATATAAAGCTGAATAAAAATATCAATTACTATGCCAAAACTCACAACCATTGATTGGCATTTAGTAATTGAACATATTAACACAAGGTACAATTTTATGGATAGGTCCCTTAGTATTAAACTCACTGAAATGAAATGAAATGAAATGGGGTTTAACGTCCTACTGTTTTGCTCCGAACTGGGCTAATGAGGGAAATTTTGCCCGGACAGCGGCACTACGTGCATGCCAATGTATACACAGGACTTCGGTTTTCATCCCAAAATGAAGACTAGACAGCTGTCCTTGTCAGGCCCTCCTTCCTGCATCACTGACAAGGGGGAATCAAGCTGGAAAATCTGGATGAACTTTCTCGGCCAATGCAGGGATCGAACACCCGACCTCCAGGCTAGCGAGCCAGCGCCTTACCCACTTAGCCACCGGGATCCCCCATAAAACTCAGTAATTGTGTAGCCATAAAATTGTATTTTGTGTTATTATGTTCAGACACTTTATAGATTAATAAAATGATATGTAGCATTATTACTGAAATAAAATATTTATGGCACAAACTTCATCAGCAGGTATCTTAAAGCTGAACTCAGATTACAAAACTATATTTTCAATAAGCTGATAGTGAAAAAAAAATACCCCTCAACCAGTCGAGTGTGTGGTAGTTGAAATATAGCAAGCCGGATGTGCACACTGTCCTTAACAAGGCAAATACTGGATGTGGGCATGGTTTGCCCATCTTCTTATACCCTTCATCAGTCGCCATGTTTGTTCTACAAATTGAAAACAAGTAGAGGACTGTTTAATTATTTCCATAGTTTTGTAATCGGAGTTCAGCTTTATTGACGCATTTGTAAGAGCTAAATCTGCCTATTGCAGGTCTTTTTTTGTGACTTCAAATGCTATATAAATTATTATTTAGACATTAATTAATTTATCCAGACCATAATCAACTCTCTAGATCATCAGATGACCAAGATATTGAATGGATTAGACAATGTCAGACATATCTTCGTTAAAAGTTAAAATGGAAAATCAAGATTTTGTTTATTATTGTAGGTACTTGACAATCAAGACCATTTATGTGATTAGTCAAAACTTCAAACATTCATAACTTAGCTACGAGTAATGTAATTTGACCGAACATATCTATAATTCATTATCTATTTTGGAACTATTATAGCAAGAAGGGTCAGCTCTATCTAAATCTTACATAATGAATCTTTGATGATAATATGTAACATTGTTACTCAGGGGCGGATCCAGGAATTTTTGCAGGAGGGGGTTTGCCAGGTTCCTGTTAAAGAAATCCGTCATCATCGTCTCTAAATTACATAGGCATACATACAAATTGAGCTTTTTAAAGAGAGAAATCATTTTTGTAATGATGACGGGACACGTTGTGATTTAATTTCATTGATGCAAGGCATTCATTTTATTTTATGTAGCTGAGCAGGGTGGGGTTTGGACCCCCCAAACCCCCCCTCTGGATCCGCCCCTGTTACTAAAATTTCATATAGCACTACATATAGCATATAAACTTCTCATCAGCAGGTATTTTAACAATATGATTAAAACACAGATCCTATTTCGTTTCATTTTTTTATAGTTCAAAACATAGTTTTACTTGTCTTTACTACACTACGGTCTAGAAGAGTTGTTATATAACCCGCCTTCTTGATGATGTGAGGGATTAGCCAATGAAACGGTCTGTTACGGCAAGTTTTTGTAGTGAGGTGCACGGAATTGTGGGTAACCCACTAGAATCGTCAACGCTGATTTGTTAATCAAATGACTGACGTCATAGGGTCAAAAGTCACTTGTACGACCTCTGATGCGACCTTCCAGTACAACTGGTCAGATCACCATGTAGTGCAGGCGCCATCAAAAGTATAAAAAAACCAAAAAAAACAAAATTTGGATCTGTATTTTAACCAGATTGTTATTTTAACTAACTGACTTTATCGTACACTAAATTAAATAAATAATTTCTAACTAAATGTCTGACTCCTTTTAAACAGTTTTTTACCCCTTTTCTTGCGTTTTTTAGCAGACACCGGTTTACCACTGGCAGCTTTCTGATCACGTTCTTCCTGTTTCTTCTGAAGCCACATTATATGTTCTGCTCTCTCTGAAATCAGAAAAAATATTTACGTTGATACGAAGTTGAGGATTTGTAATACAACTCAGATATAGGTGAAGTTAAATATACCAAGGAATAAATATACTATTCAAAAAAAGTAGGGGATATTTGATTTTTAAGTGTTATTAAAGTCACCTAATGAAACTGACGAAGAAAAAAATGACAAAATGAAATGAAGTTCACATTCATCGATTTATTCCAAATGATCGTTAGACTAAGTAAGGCACAGACTGACCATTATAAGGGTAAAATGATACCCGGGGTCAAACAGCAAAGTTACCACAGCATCACAACCAAGTCAGTAACGGGTAAATCCTCCTCTGTTTGCCAAACAAGCATTGATCCGACGTGGCATACTCCTAATGAGACGTCTAAGGTCATTTTGGTCCAGATTGTCCCATTCCTGTTGCAACGCAGCAGCAAATTCTTGGACATTGGCAGGACGTTGTTGACGTTGACGTAACCTCTGTCCAAGCATGTCCCAGACATGCTCGATGGGGGAGAGGTCGGGACTCAGTGCTGGCCAAGGTAATGTGGTGATGTTCTGTTGTGGAGGTAACCTGTAACGATCCTGGCCCTGTGACATCTTGCGTTATCATCCTGGAAGATGAAACGGCGGCCATGACGTCGTGCGAACGGCACAACATGGACTGCCAAGATGTTGTCCCGGTAGTACTGGCCTGTAACACGCCCTGCAACAACATGTAAAGCCGTTCTTCCAGCAACAGTGATGCCTCCCCACACCATAACAGAACCACCCCCAAATCGATCATGTCTGATGACGTTAACGTCTTGGAAGCGCTCGTTTCGACGACGCCACACCCTCCTACGTCTGTCCAAAAAATCAACAGTGAACCTTGACTCATCTGAAAACATCACATTGCTCCAGCGTCGATTATCCCAGTGTTGACGATCCCTACACCAACGACGTCTTGCCTGAATGTGATGATCTCTCAAACAAGGGATCACGCGAGGACGTCGGGCGCGAAGGTGACCCCTATGCAGTCGATTCCGAATCGTCTGGCCACTCACTCTCACACCAGTGTCTGTTTGAAGACGAGCGCTGATCTGATTTGCTGTGATGACACGATTTCTCAAGGCCAAGGTACGGATAAATCGATCCTGGGCTTGAGTTGTCGCCCTTGGTCGACCTGAGCGTGGTCTGTCCTGTACAGATTGTGTATCACGGTATCTGGACCATAGCCTGCTTATGACAGACTGAGAAACATTCATCGTCCGCGCCACAACCGCCTGTGTTGTGCCGATCTGTAGCATGCCAAGGGCACGTAACCTTTCATTTTGGGTAAGCCGACGCATATCAAAATTTTTTTCTGGTCACTAAAACAATTTAACTGATGTTTCCACCCTGGAATTCAATGCCACAATGACTGTAACATTCAAAGTCAGAGTCGTGCAAATCTTGAGTTGGACCCCCATGATGATCCCAAGCATCACCTGCATTCCATGCGGTAGCTATTGGTGCGTTTGGGCGTCACATGTAACTGGAAATGTTTCTTCTGTTAGGTTCTATAGTGACTTTTTTCGTAGTCATTTGCATATTTTAGTATTATGCCCCCAAAATCAAATATCCCCTACTTTTTTTGAATAGTATATATTTTTATTCCATAAATATTTTCATTTAAATAAAAGAGTTACATTTCACAACAAGCGGTTACCATGCACGATACACCCACATTTTGCATAATCCAGGAATATCAACAGCAACCAAGATCTTTAAGTTATAGACATACATTTCAAGTTTCATCAAAATCAGATAGAAATTGTGACCTCTATAAGTTCCACAACCTTGTTATTACATACTGTTACGCTATTTGTGTACAAGGACTGGTCATTTTGTCCGACAGTTTCGGTCCGATTTTCATAAAATTAGAACTCAGCTATCATTAACGGTGATATATAAAACGTTTTTTGAAAATTGAATAAAAATTGTGACCTCTATGGAGACCACAAGCTAAAAACGTGATTTTTCAGACAATCCGGGGCCATAATCCAGAAAGTTGCAGTCCGATATACGCAAAAATCGAAAGGAACTGAGATCTTTGGGTTATAAACATACATTTGAAGTTTCATCTAAATTGGATAAAAATTATGACCTCTAAAATGTCCACAGGGGCCATAATCCAAGAAGTTTCAATCAGATACATCCCAATTTCAAAAGGAGCCAAGATCTTTTGGAGATAAACCTATATTTCAAGTTTCGTCAAAATCGGATAAGAATTGTGACCTGTATTGTGTCCACAAACAAACTGTGAATGGACGTCCTGACAGGGCCGACGACAATATACTTCCACATGAATATGTGGGTGTATAAAAAATGACTTTAATTCGTCAACTTATGACAATGCGCAATCCAAAAGGTAAAAGTTGTTTTCCCATTGTAACCCAGGAACTGTCTTCCTCCTTTAATTTTACAATGTACATTAGTTAAAAATTTACCGGTAAAACTTTGTTAGTAAAAACTGTGAAATTATCCAAGGATTATTTATCAATAAAGAATACAACAGAACAACAACAAAACAACAACAGGACATTTGTTAGCCATGTGAACTTTTCAAATAAGAAATGGTATCAGGTGTTTTTGAAAGAGAAAGCATACCCTGCATCACACAATACACTTATCCCCACTCATAGCTAACAGGACCAATGGTTTGAACCTGGAATTCAGAAGCAGAATGGCTACTATGTGTAACATACTGTAACCCGGGTTTCATTTAATCTTGCTAAATACACAAAATGATACCCAGGTTACAGTGAGCTAGTCCAGTCCATTGATTTAACCAACGGTTGCCAGGCAAGATACGCCCACATTTTGTAACAAGCTAAAACAAAAAGCAATTTTTCGTACAATCAGGGGCCATTATCCAGAAAGTTATGTTGAAATGTGCGAATATCGAAAGGGAGTGAGATATTTGGGATATAAAGATATATTTTAAGTTTCATCAAAATCAGATAAAAATTGTGACTTCTAGAGGGTCCAAAACATTGGTATCAAATACTTTTACACTATTTGCGTACAATGAACAGCCATTTTGTCAGGCAGTTTCTTTCACCAAATTTTAACTCAACCTTCATTGATATTAAGCATTTTTTTAAAATTGAACACAAATTGTGACTTCCATGTGATTTTTCAAATAATCAGGGCCATAGTCCAGGAAGTTACACTCGGATATGTACGATTATCATGATTATCGAAAGGAACCAAGATGGACAAACAGACAGGGACAACGGCATAATACCTCCACATGAAAATGTGGGCATATAAAAATAAAACTAAAAGAATGACAAAAATTTGTTCAAATGAAAAGTGGTATGAGATAACAATTTAATTAACTACCTAATTGTTTTTCTGCTTCTTTAAATCTTTTGTATTGTTCTGGGATCCAAACTTTAGGATGACTCAACAAACTGAAAAAAAAAACACAGATAACCATGAAATACTGTTTTCTAATCAATTTAATAAGTTGTAAAATAAGTAGGCGTGGTAATAAGTATGACGGGCACTAATTCCTTAACACCTGACAAAATTTATCGCAGATAAAGTAATAGATACCATAGGGATTGTGCCTTACAGAGAGTTAATTTGGATCTGACATTGTGACTGTTATCATATTCCCAGACTTAGTGAAAATAATTAACCATACATTATATAAGATTTAGATAAAGAGCTGACCATTCTTGCTATAATAGCTCAAAATTAGATAATGTAAAATGAAAATATTAAAAATTTCATTCAAATTACTTCATTCTGAGCCAAGTTATCACTGTTCGTAGTTTTGACAAGATGTGGGCATTGTGGTAACAAGTGCACTGGTATATTCCGAGACTTAGCCTTGTTTTCCCATTTTTAAATTAAATTTTTAAATGGCGAACCGTTCTAATCTAGTTGAATGGTCTGAATACGTTAATTAAAATCGAATTAATAATTTAGATAACATTTCAGGCCTGAAGAAAGCCCTGCAATAGACAGATTTAATGTTTAACTTACTTGGTACTAGATGACTGTGGTAAATATCCTGGTACATCATAATATAATGTTCTACCATTGGGCGGATACAGAGCTCTAGTAATATATAATATTTATAATACAAAGTTCTACCATTGGGTGCATACAGAGCTCTAGTATATAATATTGTAACAGTTTGGCCTGCGCTGTTTAGAAGTAACACCATATTCACCATTTTTATACGATTTATTCAATACAACCATGAGATAAATACACGACCATTATTTACATTAATCAGGTAACCTTAGTGTTGGTTATAAGAAGGGTCTTGTGGGGGGTGGGAGATAGCCATAACGTCATTTATTCTAATGTCCAGTGTCATGCCTGACAATGTTCAGTCTGACAATTGACGCTGTAAGTCCTGACAAGTTCGCCCTGACAACCTGACAACCCGCCATGCCTGACGGATTGCTTAGGCTCAACTACGTTATGATCATACAAAAACGTCAAGGGGAGACGGTTCTACCAGGATGGTCGGTAGCGCCGTCATAATTCCTTTTGTCAGGCCAGCTTTAAGAGGTCCTTACCCTAGGCTGCCGTAATGTAGGCCATCGAAAGTATAAAAAACGAAATGAAATATAGATCTGTAATTTAATTAGATTGGGATAACTGACAGATGGGGAGATGATAATATGTGGGACTAACAAATTAAATATGATATTTACCATCTGTCAATGTGATTTCATGTTATGAGACAGTTGATTTATAAATCTATAATAGGTACACCTCAACAATACTGAGACACATGGTCCAATAAATCATCTTGTTATATTGATAGAGATCACCGAATTAATTTATTAATTTATAAATCTAAAATACACCTCAATAATACTGAGACGCATGGTCCAATATATCACCAAATTTATTTATTCATTAATAAATTAATTAATAAATTATCTCGTTATGTAGATATCATCAAATTAATTAATTTATGCATCTATAATTAAAAATGTCTATTTGCAGTAATTTATGCAATTATATTAAATTTAAAAAAAAAAATTAATCTCAATTCAATAAAAAATAAAATATACATATAATTTATAATAAATATATTAAATACAATAATAAACAATATCTTATTGTTTTTGTCACCATAAATTTGTAAAATATAATATTTCTCAACAATAAAACATTATAAATCTTACCAAACGTATCTTCTGAGCATAAAAAAACTCATTCATAAAAATCATATCATGCGTAAATATAAATCTGCAGGTTTAAAAATTATACTTTTTTCTACAAAATATAAAGCTGAATAAAAATATCAATTACTATGCCAAAACTCACAACTATTGATTGGCATTTAGTAATTGAACATATTAACACAAGGTACAATTTTATGGATAGGTCCCTTAGTATTAAACTCACTGAAATGAAATGAAATGAAATGGGGTTTAACGTTCTACTGTTTTGCTCCGAACTGGGCTAATGAGGGAAATTTTGCCCGGACAGCGGCACTACGTGCATGCCAATGTATACACAGGACTTCGGTTTTCATCCCATTCGAATGACTAGACAGCTGTCCTTGTCAGGCCCTCCTTCCTGCATCACTGACAAGGGGGAACCAAGCCGGAAAATCTGGATGAACTTTCTCGACCAATGCAGGGATCGAACACCCGACCTCCAGGCTAGCGAGCCAGCGCCTTACCCACTTAGCCACCGTGATCCCCCATAAAACTCAGTAATTGTGTAGCCATAAAATTGTATTTTGTGTTATTATGTTCAGACACTTTATAAATAATAATATGATATGTAGCATTATTACTGAAATAAAATATTTATGGCACAAACTTCATCAGCAGGTATCTTAAAGCTGAACTCAGATTACAAAACTATATTTTCAATAAGCTGATAGTGAAAAAAAACTACCCCTCAACCAGTCGAGTGTGTGGTAGTTGAAATATAGCAAGCCGGATGTGCACACTGTCCTTAACAAGGCATATACTGGATGTGGGCGTGGTTTGCCTATCTTCTTATACCCGTCATCAGTCGCCATGTTTGTTCTACAAATTGAAAACAAGTAGAGGACTGTTTAATTATTTCCATAGTTTTGTAATCGGAGTTCAGCTTTATTGACGCATTTGCAAGAGCTAAATCTGCCTATTGCAGGTCTTTTTTTGTGACTTCAAATGCTATATAAATTATTATTTAGACATTAATTAATTTATCCAGACCATAATCAACTCTCTAATATTGAATGGATTAGACAATGTCAGACATATCTTCGTTAAAAGTTAAAATGGAAAATCGAGATTTTGTTTATTATTGTAGGTACTTGACAATCAAGACCATTTATGTGATTAGTCAAAACTTCAAACATTCATAACTTAGCTACGAGTAATGTAATTTGACCGAACATATCTATAATTCATTATCTATTTTGGAACTATTATAGCAAGAAAGGTCAGCTCTATCTAAATCTTACATAATGAATCTTTGATAATAATATGTAACATTGTTACTCAGGGGCGGATCCAGGAATTTTTGCAGGAGGGGGTTTGCCAGGTTCCTGTTAAAGAAATCTGTCATCATCGTCTCTAAATTACAAAGGCATACATACAAATTGAGCTTTTTAAAGAGAGAAATCATTTTTGTAATGATGACGGGACACGTTGTGATTTAATTTCATTGATGCAAGGCATTCATTTTATTTTATGTAGCTGAGCAGGGTGGGGTTTGGACTCCTCAAACCCCCCCCTCTGGATCCGCCCCTGTGGGGGGTGGGAGATAGCCATAACGTCATTTATTCTAATGTCCAGTGTCATGCCTGACAATGTTCAGTCTGACAATTGACGCTGTAAGTCCTGACAAGTTCGCCCTGACAACCTGACAACCCGCCATGCCTGACGGATTGCTTAGGCTCAACTACGTTATGATCATACAAAAACGTCAAGGGGAGACGGTTCTACCAGGATGGTCGGTAGCGCCGTCATAATTCCTTTTGTCAGGCCAGCTTTAAGAGGTCCTTACCCTAGGCTGCCGTAGAGCTATCTGCCGACATCGACGACATGACGTCCTTTTACAGGCTGCAGGCAGAGCTATTGACCAACCACAGGCTCGCATTCTGCCTGACAAGGACTACGTTTTCCTGACAAGTTAACGTTTAACAATAAAAATAAAAATTAATAAAGATGTTCATAATTAATCATTGCATTACATGTAAGTAACCTATTCTGAATCTAAAATCAAAGTAATGTACAATTAGACCAGCGCAAATACATTAATGAAGAAACACCTAGCCCATGAATCGTGCGTAAGTCTTAGCTTACAGCGACGAGGTCCTAAAGAATTGGAACTACCTAAGAACAGCAAGTAGGCCTACTTCAAAATACTTAATGGATCTAATATAATAATGAGATGTACAAAGTAAGTAACAAAAGTAACAAGCATTGTAAGGTCATGAATTTATTATAATACACCATTAAATTAACGTGAGAATGATCATGTTACTATCACTAACTATCCCTAGCAACCATATTACTACGCCCGTCTCGTCTGACTCGAATGCACACAGCATTCCACGCTAACAATACATTCATATGTGGATATTATTTGAATTGCTATCGTCCCCTTATATCCAGTCGCATAGTAATACATCATGACATGCCTTACAAATCCGGCTCTAAGTACCGATGTTCTATAATCTAAGATACGACTTGCTGTCGTCAACGTAAGTAGGCTACATTAGGCAAAACAAAATTGTAAACAATGAGAGCGTACGGCTCGTTCTATTTATAGTAACAATTAAACCTTTCAACAATGGCAAAGGCAACACTAATATCGTAATAATACCAACGATAAATACTTAACAAATGCAATAATAAAACAATGTGAAGATGTAACTATTGATTCTTAACATATGGTACACGGCATTACCAGTGATCAGTGATAATGAAATAATAACAATAATTAAATCTACCCCCCCCCCCCCCCTTATATATAACAATATATAATATTTATAACTATTATTCTCATAATATAATATTCTACCAGGTGAAAATAGAGCTCTAATATATAATATATAATATTTATAACTATTATTATCATAATATAACTCTGTAACTCGGTCGGGTATCTTGTGTATCTAGCACTAATTTCTTTCACATTCATTTAATAACAAATCATTGTTTAAAAATTCATTTGAAATCACCCAAAATCATCTAGAAATAAAATCAGACGTGGTTCAATGTCCTATTGTTTTGCTCCGACTGGGCTATTGAAGACGGCACACGCCACACGCCATACTATGTGCTATGAGGGAAATTTTGTCCGGGCAGCAGCACTATGGTCTACTCTTCTTATATCGAATTCCCACTGACAAGGGATCTTTTACGTGCACGCCAATGTATACACAGGACCTCGGTTTTCATCCCATTCGAACGACTATACAGCTGTCCTTGTCAGGCCCTCCTTCCTGCATCACTGACAAGAGGGAACCACGCCGGAAAATCTGGATGAACTTCTCGGCCAATGCAAGGATCAAACACCTGAACGCCAGGTTAGCGAGCCAGCGTCTTACCCACTTAACCACCTATATCTTGACTAAACAGAATTAGTTTTATTTTAAGTTTTATTACCATACTAACCTTTCTAATGTTTCAGGAGCAACATTTACTCCACTTTGAGCCAGTCTATCAGTTAAATCTTGACAAGCACTTCTTTCCTCAGTTATTACATCCTATTAAACATTTTTAATTTTATTATCAAACTTTTCACCAATTTTCTTGGATTATCATTTTGAATTGTAAAAGAAGAGCTGGACTAAAACAGTCGATCTTACAATCAAGGAAAAATGCCACATTCAAATATTAATGGTACTAAGGACTTCCGAGAGAGAGAGAAATTGGGTTTAACGTCCACTCGACACAAACTAGGTCATTTCGGAACGAACATAATATGGTTCAATTTTATTTCAATAATTCGCTTGTGCGTAGGGGTCTTTAGCAGTGGGAGGAAACTAGAGGACCTGGAAAAAAAGCATGAGGTTGGACGGGCAACTTTACATCCTGGTAATGTACAAGCAGGGAATCAAAACCACGTCAGTTGACTAAATGACAGACCATGTGATTTCATGTGCACACATTAAAACACTATATAACCTGCGTTCTGGATATGAGGGATTAGCCAATGAAACGGTCTGTTATGGTAAGTCTTTGTCGTGAGTTGCACGGAACTGTGGGTAACCCACTCGAAACATCAACACTGATTGGTTAATCAAATGTCTCACATCATAGGGTCAAATAGCCCTCATATGACCTCTGATGCGACAGGTCAGACGTTCATGTAGTAAATGCCATCGAAAGTATAAAAAAACAAAACAAAGAAAAGATGTGTATTTAAATCAGACTGGTGTAGCAGTAAGGACAATATGTAGGAGTTTGGAATTTTGTTTGCGATATCACCCTAGGTACAAGTGGACGTTAAGCTCGACATGAAGTCAAAGAGTTTAGAAACACATCTTCCCACATGTAGTAATGAAATGGGGTTTAACGCCCTACTGTCCTGCTCCAAACTGGGTTAATGAAGTCGGGCATACGCCATGCAGTGTGCTATGAGGGAAATTTTGCTCGGACATCAGCACGCCAATGTATATAGGGGACCTCGGTTTTTCGTCCCATCCAAACAACTAGACAGCTGTTCTTGTCAGGCCCTCCGTCCTGCATCACTGATAAGGGAGAACCACACTGGAAAATCTGGATGAACTTTCTTGGCCAATGCAGGGATCGAACACCCGACCTCCAGGCTAGCGAGCCGGCTTCGTACACACTTAGCTACCGTGACTCCCCCACATGTAATAAGAAATGAACCTAAATCTGTTATTATACCTCTTTACGATTTCTAGATGTGATATAATTAACATCAGTTAATATAGGTGGTGTCTTCTCTTGTTTGGCGGAAATACTTCTACTATATAACAATGGCACTGACGCTGAAAGATACATTATGTAAGATTTAGATAAAGAGCTAGCCGTTCTTGCTATAATAGTTCGAAAACAGATAATGCAAAATGAATATATTGAAAATTTCATTCAAATTGCTCCATTGCGAGCGAAGATATTAGCTTTTGAAGGTTTGACACGATGTGTGCATTAATTGCAACCACTGTACTGGTTGTTCGAAGCTTAGCCTTACTTCACCATTTTTAAATTAAATTAAAATATGGCTAAAATGTTCTAATCTACTTAATATTTGAGATATCATATGGCATCAAGAGTTGATTATGGTCTTGATAAATTAATTAACGTTTAATTAATAATTTAGATAACATTTCAGGCCTAAAGAAAGACCTGCAATAGGCATGTTGAATGAAATGGAATTGAAATTCTTATATTGATAAAACTTATGAAATGATGGTCAACATGTGCACCAACCGGGCTAATGAAGTTGGGCACACACCATGCAGTTTACTTTGAGAGAAATTTTCCAGACAGCTTATTCTTAATTGAATTGCAACAGCCAAGTACATGAATGGATCTTGGGGTTTTCATCCCATCTGAATGACTATACACAGTTTCCTTGACAGACTTTCTGTTCTACACAAATGAAAAGGGATGGAAAGAGAGAGAAATGGGGTTTAACGTCCACTCAACACAAACTAGGTCATTTCGGGACTTACATATGGTTCAATTTTATTTCAGCAATTCACCTGCAAGGAGGGGTCTTCAGCAGTGGGAGGAAACCGGAGGTCCCGAAGAAAACTCACAAGGTTTACTAAATATAGATCCATGTAAAATTTGGTATGACTACAGATCATCATACCACAAAACAAATAAATGCACAAAATGCAATCGTATCTATAATTCTACCAAAATCAAAGATGGCGTGCCAATTTAAATTGACAGAGATTGCTGTAAAAACTGTTGAAAATAACTTTTATACAGATTTTACTTACTCTTAGTCGTCTGAGCAGGTTTTGACACTGGAACATTAGAAATCTCATTTTCTAATTTTACTGTAGTTGGTTTAGTTGTGGAACTATCAACAGAAGATAATATTATTTCGTTTATAAGATATATCCAATTATGTTAAAATACAGATTTATATTTTGTTATGAAAATCTGACCGGTTGTACTGCGAGGTCGCGTCTGGGGTCATATGAGCGGCTTATGACCCTATGGCATCAGACATTTGATTAACCAATCAGCGTTGACGTTTCTAGGAGTTTACTCACTCTTCCGTGCATAGCAGGCCAAGAACTCGCCGTAACAGACCGCTTCATTGGCTAATTCCACACATAAACTAGAACGCCTGTTATATAATAACTCTTCCAGATCCTAGTGTTGTGAAGACAAGTAAAACAAAATTTTGAACTATAAACGAAACGAAATAGGATCTGTGTTTTAATCAGATTAAAACATTCATAGTTAAGAGAGAGAATGGAATGGAGTTTACGGTTCCTTCAATACAATACTTTGGTCATTTTAAGATAAATTTATGGTAAATTTCATTCCTATGGTGACGCGTGCAATGCATAGTGGCGAATTTTGTCCCATATTTCTAATTCCAACTGCTAAGTCTTCTTTAATTTTTTTCTATGTTTTTATGTTACAACAGTTACAGAATAGTTGAGTTCTCTAAGCCCCACTCCTGTAAAAGTCTAATCACCGTGGTTACACTCAGGAAACCACAACATTATATGGTCGTCTAAAGAACCTAGATGGTGTGTAAAATTATTCTAGCCACACCCTCTCTTATAGGTGCCGAATGACGTAGGCTAACTCACGTACGTGTATTTCAAACAATAACAACTATTCCTTGAAAAATGTAAATGACCAAAATGTTTACTAAAATATACCTCCGTATCAAAATAACCAGCATACTTTCTATATTTTTGGTTATGAACTTCAAATCAATAATTTGTAAAGATAAACATATTGTTTCAGCCATCATATTGCTCCATTCCTTATCTATGAATTTGAAAGCAATAATTGGTTAGTGACATAATATGATCGCAACAACAATATTGTTACAAGGGTTCTTTAACGTTCACATGCGGGGACCTCAGTTTTTCGTACTAGTAGAAAGATTAAACTGATCTTACCTTGTTGTTTTAAAGAAGGCAACTTTTGGACTGGTATTTTTGACTTTACTAACAGCTGTAGATGTGATAGGTGTTGCCTGTGTTTTATCTCTTATAGAACTTGGCTGAATATGAGATAGATTTATATACATGAATATCACGAAGTTGGTCGTCGTCAAGTGATAGCGCTTCAAGTTTGATTTGCTATTAATAACGCTGTAAAATGACCAATTTAATTACATCGGAAGGTGTATAATGATCAAATAAAGTCTTGTTGGCAATAAAAACGACAGGAAGTGTTAGAACTAGTGAGTATTGTGAGATGATAGCAGACAAATGTCTTGAACATGTGAAAACAAAGATGGCGTGTGAGATACCTTCTATATACTATAATATATAGTCAAGCAGTAGTAATAAAGTTTTATTTTAATCCCTTCAAGTGCCTGTGATGAATATTGGGGGCACAGCTGCTACATTGTTCTTGGACCCATAAACAGCTATTTAATTTTTTAAAGGCAGCTGGTGGTATTCTTGCTGTCCCGCCCCCAATACCCTACTCTAGCTATACAGGGGTCAAGTTAGAAACACTATTTTTTGCATAGTTTTTGCACAGGTGGGGAAGGGGGGCGGAAACATCTGTCTAGCTTCGAACCAGTTTCTAGACTCTTATCTTGTTTTCTTGCAGTCTAGACATGTTTCTGAGAACAATGTTCAAATTGAGCAACCCATCCGAAAGCAACTTAAAACTACATCTTTCTATTTTTCATATTTTCTAAAGCATAAAACAGACTTTTGATTCAGATAACTTAACTTATTAGACTGTTAAGAGCCTTACTGTTTTAATGCTGACTTGTATATGAGTTGTCAATGATTGAAGAAGATCTTCTGTTGATGGTGTTTCTACTTCTACTTGTGGTGACGAGGGTTTTGGCTTCACCTGAAGTTATAAATACTGTGTATCTTTACAAATAGTAAGTGAGCTAGGTTCAGGTTGTTTCGAAAATCGCGTACAGTGGACAGCGGTGCCCGATACTCTTAACCGTGATTCTTAAGTTGCAGGTCACCTTCCCATGGGGGTGAGAGTTCCGACAAAATGTCGAAATTTTGAGTTGAATTAGACTTTTGCGTAAAACAATCAACTTTCGTACATACGTCAACCAAATTCAGATGCCACAAAAAACACTGCATAAGACGACCCCTGACCCTTCCGTCCTCCCTTAAGAACACCCGGGAACGTACATTGCAATTATGTTTCCTTATGAAAAACAGTCACTTCCACGACTTGCTTGTTGTTGGCAGTTATCTAACTTTATTCAAAATAATGTATTAGTCCCATGCCATTAACATAATTAGATCAAGAATTTCTTATTTACTGTGCCAATCTCTGGTAAAACTCACCGACCATTAATCAGTGTGAAATTGGTACCTAAGCTCCGCCTTCAATGGCTACTGATTAGCAGGATTTGTTAGAATGAAATGCTGCCGATTTCTCGACAATTAGGCATCGATTCGTTGCATGAGTTATATATTAATTTTCCGCATGTTGACATCAAAAGTTCATTCGAAAACAGCCCATTTGATGATTACCGGAAACTATTTTTAGCGCAAAATGTGAGTGATTCGGCAAAATACATAAAATTTCTTAAGAAATGCCAGTTTGAGCCTCCATTTTGGGTCTTTGTGAAGCAACCGACGAAAGGATACATTATGTACATTCAAAATGGCTGAGTTTTCCCAGAGATAAACAAAGGGTAAATTTATTTGTTAGGAATGAGATTGTCACTGTGCTTGACAATGTATGAGTTAAGAGAGAGAGAGAGAGAAATGGGGTTTAACGTCCACTCGACACAAACTAGGTCATTTCGGGACTAACATATGGTTTAATTTTATTTACACAATTCGCTTGCGCGTAGGGGTCTTTAGCAGTGGGAGAAAACCGGAGGACCCGGAGAAAAGCCACGAGGTTGGACAGGCGACCCTACTCCTTCCCACGTACAACCGGGGATTCGAAACCACGTCAGTCGACTCAATGACAGACTTTATGATACAGCGCGCGCACGCTAACCATTCAGCCATCCAACCCCCCGAGTTAAGAGAGAGAGAGAGAGAGAGAGAAATGGGGTTTAACGTCCACTCGACACAAACTAGGTCATTTAGGGACTAACATATGGTTTAATTTTATTTCAATAATTCTCTTGCGCGTAGGGGTCTTTAGCAGTGGGAGGAAACCGGAGGACCCAGAAAAAACCCACGAGGTTGGACAGGCGACCCTACTCCTTGTCAGGTACATGTATGAGGTTAAATGTTTATATGAGTAATGTCATTGTAGTATTCAGCCACGCAAATTACATTTTGTACAACACAAATTTGTTAAATATGTTATATCCCCAAAATAAAAAGTGACATCGGGTGTTCTAGAGGAAGAATAGAAGTGAAATGGGGTTTAACGTCCTACTGTTCTGCTCCTAACCTGGGCTAATGAAGACGGGCATACGCCATACAGTGTGCTATGAGGGAAATTTTGCCCGCACAGCGGCACTACGGCCTACTCTTATATCGAATTCCAACTGTCAAGGGATCTTTTATGTGTAAGCCAATGTGTACACATGACCTCGGTTTTTCGTCCCATACGAACGACTAGACAACTGTCCTTGTCAGGCCCTCCGTCTTGCATCACTGACAAGGGGGAACCATGCCGGAAAATCTGGATAAACTTTCTCGGCCAATGCATGGATCGAACCTCCGACCTCCAGGCTAGCGAGCCAGCGTCTTACCCACTTAGCCAAGAGGAAGAATAAACGATTTTACTCACAGGTCTCCGAACACTTGGTGGACGAGACTGTCGTGATCTCTTTAACTGTTCATCAGATACAGCTAATGGTTCTGTAGGTTTCAACAGTTGACCATCAATAGCCGAACGAATACTGGCTTCTTTCGGCCCGTCTGGACCAAACTCAAAAGTTTTTGTTGTCTTGTAAACCATATTGATGTCTTCTTTCTGTTTCACTGCCTGCTCATAATAATTAACACTTTTGGCTGACGTTGGTCGAACTCTCATTTTGTTCTCTGGGGTATTTAGAAGAACACTTGGTGAACTTTCTTTTCCCGATAATAATTCGGATGCGACGGTTTTGCTACTATTGTTAATCGTACTTGTTCTTTCTTCACCATAGTCCACGGTAACTACAGCAACCGGTTTCTGCTCCTGAATAAGCCTACTCGGTGACAAGTCACTTTGTGGCTTGCTTCTCAGAGCAGATCTTGGTCGAGATCTTTGAAGGGCAGAACTTCTTTTTTCTCCATCTTTGTTTTGAGTGAAAGGCATTTCTTTTGCACTACTTTCTTTTGTAACCATGGAAACTGTCTTTGAAGGATTACATGAAATTTTGGATACAGATATCGGTAGAGGATCTGAGCTTTCAAGACTTTCATTAGATGTCTGTTTAAGACAGGACTTCCTTGAATGAAGGAGGGATTTATCTATTCCCGAATTGATTCGACTTTGGACATGTTTATAGTCTGGTCGTTTTCTGGAGGCAGAAACCGGTCTGGAATTATTATCTGTTAGCCTCGGTGATATGTCAAAAATCATATTTCTGTCTTCTCGTATTAATACACTAGGACTTCTCGCTGGTTCCATATTGGAATTATTATCGTCAGTGTGACTGGATATTCCTGATAATCCACCTTCTCCATCTTCACAGACAACCTTTTCAATCACTTCTGATCTTAGATTGGCTCTCAATTCATCAAGATCTGAAAAATTCTTTGGATCTTCAGTGGTTGCTAGAGAATGTAAAGATTCCAAAGATCCTTGCAGAAACTGAAGAGTTAATGAACTGTTTCTGTGGGAATTGATTGCAGCCCTTTCAAGTAACCTGAAAAAAACAATACCAAACAAATTAATCATAAAAAGTCAACATCAATTATTTCAAAAGTCATCATAAGAAAACTATGGTTCGGTGAGTGTAACTGTGGTTCAATGAGTGTAATTGTGATTCAGTGAGTTAACTGCGGTTCAGTGAGTGTAACTGTGGTTCAGTGAGTGTAACTGTGGTTCAGTGGGTGTAATTGTGGTTCAGTGAGTGTAACTGTGGTTCAGCCATATTTTGATTTAAGCTAAAAATGGCTAATATCTTTGCTCGCAATAGAGTAATTTGAATGAAATTTTCAAATTATTGATTTTACATTATCTATTTTCGAACTATTATAGCAAGAATGGCTAGCTCTTTATCTAAATCTTACATAATGTATCTTTAAATAAAATTGAACCATATGCTAGTTCTGAAATGGCCAAGCTTGGATCGAGTGGACGCTAAACCCCATCGTAATTGGCCCGGTCAGTGCAGAAAAGTAGGACGTGACACAATATTTTATTTCATTTCATAAGGTAACTGTCCACATTAAAATAATAGTAAGGTGTTGATGTTACCTATCGGTATCAAGTTCATCCTCATCGTCATCATCATCATCATTATCAACAGTAGGTAATTGCAGATGTAAAGCTTCTGGGGTTGGCCTCCTTAGTAACAATGGCGGTGACTGTTTAGTGTTTGTCTTCTTTATGCTTAAAAATAAAAAACATTACTTTTTAAATTTTACAGAAAGAAATTAAAGAACAGATTTAATATGGAATTGTTACACAAGAAGAAATTACTACAACGATATCTAGAACTATATAACAGAGCTTAACTAATTTTTCTTCAGAATATTTTTTGTCGAAGATCAGAATAAGCGTATTATCTGTGTATAAAGAACAAGTACATAAAAAATAAGAAGAAGAAATGGTGTTTAACGTCCACTCGACACAAACTGGGTCATTTTGGGACTAACATATGGTTTAATCTAATTTCAATAATTCGCTTATGTGTAGGGGTCTTTAGCAGTGGGAGGAAACCGGAGTACCCGGAGAAAACCCACGAGGTTGTAAAGAGTAAGAAAAAGACTAATAATAATAATAATATTTATATTTATACCGTTCACAGTTCCATGCTAATATGCGTGCTCAAGGCGATATTAATAATATGTATATTTATAACGCACACAGTTCCATGCTAATATGAGTGCTCAAGGCGCTACACAGTCTGGGTGACATAATAGGCTGTAAATAGATGAGTTTTTAAATTAGTTTTGAATGTTTCTAGCCTGGATGATGGTTTAATGTTCAGCGGTAATGAATTCCACAGAACAGGCACAATGTGAACAAACGATCAGTATCCAAATGATTTGAGTTTATATTTTGGGGTCATAAGAAGGTGTTCTTGTTAAGAACGGAGTGTATGTTCAGGACAATATGGTGATAAAAGATCGTATAGGAAGGTCCGTTTCCATGTAAACACTTATATGAATGGCACAAGAGCTTAAAATCTATTCTAATTTACTTGGCAGCCAATGAAGTTCTTTGAATGCTGGTGTAATATGCGAGTTCCTGGGTAAATCGACTGATGATTCGAGCTGCAGTATTTTGAACTGTGGTTGTGAAATAATCAGACGTCTGCTTCTATAATAACAGACATGTTGTAGTAGTACCTTGGTTCTTTAACATCTGGGGGGGGGGGTGAATGGCCGCATAGTTAGCGTGTGTGCGTTCTATCATACGGTCTGTCTTTGAGTCAACTGGCGTGGTTTCGATTACCCGGTTGTACGTGACAAGGAGTAGAGTCGCCTGTCTCTCCAAGTCCTCCAGTTTCCTCCCACTGGCAAGCGAATTATTGAAATAAAATTAATCCATATGTTAGTCTGACCTATTTGTGTTGAGTGGACGTTAAACCCTCTCTCTCTCCTAGTTGTGTCCAGTGGACCTCTCTCTCTCTCTCTGTGATATCACAGACAATATATCAGACAATATATAGATATGTTGTACATTATCAATTAATTTATACTTACTCATCATTTGGTTCCTCGTCATCGGAAAGACCATTTGGACTGTCTTTATCATCATGTTGATCACTGTCTAAAACAAAAGGTAAATTATATATTGCATTCCAATCATGATGATAATCTAGACTGACAATAAACAAATTTCAAATCATTCTTAAAAATAGGCCTATTTATTAAAATATGGTACAATTTTTATCTTTTTTGTCCAACCAATAAATCTTGAATGATCTTTATCAAGCAGTGAGAACATATATTTTGACAAGAAGAGAGAGAGAGAGAGAGAGAGAGAAATGGGGTTTAACGTCCACTCGACACAAACTAGGTCATTTCGGGACTAACATATGGTTTAATTTTATTTCAATAATTTGCTTGTGCGTAGGGGTCTTTAGCAGTGGGAGGAAACCGGAGGACCCGGAGAAAACCCACGAGGCTGGATTGACAAGAAGAATTGTTTATAATCTGGTATAACCATGGAAGTATTTGAATATACAACCAGGGGCAGTAAACAGTGACACAAGGCCTATTGTTACTGTTATTTAAACATGGAAGATTATGGAAGATTAGATAAAGAGCTAGCAGTTCTCGCTATAATAGTTAAAAACTTCTGTAGATAATGTAAAGGTGATATGCTGAAAATTTCAATCAAATTGCTTCTCTCTAAGCCTAGAAAACTTTATTTTTAAATTACTGTAGCTACAATTGTCATTGTTACCACTGTCACGATTATTAACAAAGTCTTGATTATCCACATGGATTCAAATCCAATACATAAAGATGGCATTGAGAGTTGATTATGGTCTGGATGAGTTAATATATAGCAATTAATAATTTAGATAATATTTCAGGCCTAAAGAAAGACCTGCAATAGGCAGATTTAGCTCTTGCATATTTTGTTTAATTCTCTGTAAATGGTTTTATTATGAATTTCATATATATATATATTAACCCCAAGTTTATTAAATATCTTTGTGCTTGATAACGATAAGAGGATATCTGTCGAAACGTCGTGCTTTTAGAATAAAACTAGTGATTGTATCCCATATAAACTGTGTTCTGTTAAAATAAAAGTTATTACCATCATGGGGTGGGACTGTACCATCATTACTAGATGACTCTGTCCATCCTTCTACCGATACAACAGGCAATATCTGTTTTCTTGTTTCTGGATCAAACTTTGATCCTTTTACTGAAATTAAAATAAAACTTAGATTATTTATGTCCAATCTGATTAAAACATAGATCCTATTTCGTTTCGTTTTTTATAGTTCAAAATTTCGTTTTACTTGTCTTTCTGGAACGTGGCTAGCCTGGAGGTCGGGTGTTCGATTCCTGCATTGGCCGTCCCGATTTTCCGACGTGGTTTCCCCTTGTCAGTGATGCAGGACGGAGGGCCTGACAAGGACAGCCGTCTAGTCCTTCGGATGAGACGAAAAACCGAGGTCCTGTGTAAACATTGGAATGCACGTAAAAGATCCCATGGCAGTTGGAATTCGATATAAAAGTAGGCGATAGTGCCGCTGCCCGGTCAAAATTTCCCTCAGAGCACATTGTATGGCGTATGCCCGTCTTCATTAGCCCAGTATAGGAGCAGAACAGTAGGACGTTAAACCCCATTTCATTTCATTTCATTTCTTTCTGAAACTAGGATCTGGAAGAGTTGTTATATAATCAAATGTCTGACGTCATAGGGTCAAAAGCTGCTCATATGACCCCTAATGCGACCTTCCACTACAACCGGTCTGATCTTCATGTAGTAGAGGCCATCGAAAGTATACGATTAACCAATCAGCGTTGATGTTTCTAGTGGGCTACCCACACCTCACACCAAAAACTTGCTGTAACAGACCGTTTCAATGGCTAATCCCTCACATCAACCAGTTACATAACAACTCTTCCAGATCTTAGTGCAGTAAAGACAAGTAAAACAAAATTTTGAACTATAAAAAACGAAACGAAATCGGATATATTTAAAACTAAAACTGATATAATATTATTTATATTTATAGATGGTGTGGTTGGGAAAGATAGGCAGATTAAACTAGGCCATAAAATACTAAATTATATTTTTTGATCTGATGAGAGAGAAAATAAGTTAAGTTCTAAATCAACATGTCTGTTCTACTCCCACTGGGCCAATGAAGACGGGTCAATATGTCGGTGAGACTAATGATATAAATTCAATTCTAATACTCTTTTTCTGCTGCACATTTCACTAATAATCATCATGGTTACAAAGGCATCTGGGTTTTATAAACCAACCTCAGTTCACCTCACAATAATCTAATAATTTGATCAGTCATTGTCTTTTTGTTAAACATTGGACGGATTAAGCAGATATTTGTCAGAATTTTCCATATGACTAAAGGTAAAACTAGTGAAAAAAGAGAGAGAGAGAAATGGGGTTTAACGTCCACTTGACACAAACTATGTCATTTTGGGACTAACACATGGTTTAATTTTATTTCAATAATTCGCTTGCGCGTATAGGGGTTGTAAGCAGTGGGAGGAAACCGGAGGACCCAAAGAAAAATCACGAGTTTGGACAGGCGACCGGGGATTCGAAACCACGCCCGTTGATGGTACTATTAAAATGTGTCTGTCTGTCAACACTATAACTAACTGAGATAGCTTGTTCAAACCTCTCCCTCTCTCTCTCTCTCTCATAGTACCTGAGTTTCTCCCGAAGATGGAGGGACAATTACTATGAAAAGAAACACATGACAACCTTCTTCAGTTTCAAATGCAGTTTTTAACAAACCTTTAATATCAACTTCTGGTCGGCCTGATGGAAGAGGGGGTTTCAGATTAACAGCACTCTTGGGACGAGACTTTTTACCACTCCATGGTCGTGTTCGAGAAGGCACATTAGCACTAACAGGCCTAGATCTCAGGGCCTGTTGTCTTAGTAATTCTGGTATTGATGAGTTACTTCCCCTAAAAAAAATAAGGGAAATAAATTGTGATGGTATTTTAAACCAATACAGTAAAAAATAACTTATATACTTTTAATCAAAATAAGATAAATATATATTCCAAAGCATCCGAGTCTGTCAATAACTTGAATGGCTAGATGAGGATTCAAACTGGGTCAACTGAACACAAATTATATAAATACAGGCAAGAGGACCAGCAGGTGGATCGCCTCTTGAAATGTTTAAAATATGCATCACAAACCTATAGCCAGAAATACCCAGGAAATTGCCATAGTAAACAACTTTACGAGGCATTTTACTTCAAAAGTGTCTGCGTCTTGCTCAAATATCCATTGTTATCTCTGCTCATAAAATATCTATTGTGATCCCTGCTCACAAACATCATAATCCAAACAAAAGTAACCCTAAAAACACTGAAATGATTCTTGCTGTCTATCCATCAAATTTCTTGTGAATTGAATCCTGCATGCACTTTCTAATGAATTGTTAATCTTTTATACACCAATATAAAATAACAAGATTTATTACTGCATGTTACAGGTTGATAACAGACACGATAAGAAAATGAATATCCCATTATCTTCTATAAATAGATTTCCATTATAAAATATTGAAATTGACATGTGTCATAAATAGAATGCTATTATTACAATACAATATAATTCCTTAAAGTTGTTGTCTGTGATGTCAACATTAGTGGACGTGGACATAAACCCCCAAGAAGAACGACCTTTAAAATCAAGAACTATTACTCTAACTGTTCATTTGTTATTATTTCTCTTTAGATTATTGGATTGTTTTACATTAGGCTGTTTTTTTTATGATTTATCACACATCACTACATATTTAAATATCAATATCAATAGAACTTGAAATTAACATAATCTCTCAATTATCCAATAACAAGAAAACCTCTAATCTGTTTGTTAAACCCTCAATTTACACATCAGCCACATCTCTTGTAATATTAACTTGAAATTAACATAATCTCTCAATATCCAATAACAAGAAAAACTCTAATCAGTTTGTTAAACCCTCATTTTATATATTTGTCACATAACTTGTAATATTAACTTGAAATTAACATAATCTGTCAATTTCCAATAACAAGAAAAACTCTAATCTGTTCATTAATCCCATCATTTTACATATCTGTCATCTCTTGTAATATTAGCCATGTCTAAACTAGATAAATAAAGTTGTGTTTTTATTAGCGTGAACATCGCCTGGTTTGAATCAAGCCATTATTTATATTCGACACGCTATAGATATCAATAATATATAACAATGTAAACACAGCAATACAAGATACCCACATTACATAAATACCAACAAATATTCAATAATTCATCAAAAGAAAATCAATTAAAGCCAAGTGAAAAAAAGAAAAAAAATGCTGTTGATTAATTCTCTTTACATTAATAATCAATCTGATGAAAACAGTGGTTTCGATTCCCCGTTTGTACGTGACAAGGCGTAGGGTCGCCTGTCCAACCTCGTGGGTTTTCTCCAAGTCATCTGGTTTCCTCCCATTGCCAAAGACCCCTATGTGCAAGCGAATTATTGAAATAAAATTAAACCATATGCTAGTCCCGAAATGACCTAGTTTGTGTCGAGTGGACGTTAAACCCTATCTCTCTCTCTCTGATTAAAACACAGATCCTATTTCGTTTCGTTCTTTTATAGTTCAAAATTTCGTTTTACTTGTCTTTACTACACTAGGATCTGGAAGAATTGTTATCATTGACGTGCTCTGCACAGTGTGAGGGATTGGCCAATGAAACGGTCTGTTACAGCGAGCTTTAGGCGTGTTTTGCACGGAACTGTGGTTAATCCGCTAGTAACATCAATGCTGATTGGTTAATCAAATGTCTGACGTCATAGGACCAAAGCCGCTCTGTATTTTCATCAGATTGATTAACAATTATCATGCGTGTTATACTGTACGCGAGTTTCAAGCGAAGACACATTTTGGGCTAGACAGGATGTGCGTGCACTTAAATTTCCAGCTGTTTTCCAGGAGTTATTTACCAGATTCCAGGCGTCCCTGTATAGAATCCTACATCATAATGTATTTTTTTTACACTCAAAGAACATTTACGGCAACAAACTCGTGAACTTTTGAAGAAACATTGGATGACTACGTTCAATTTTATATCTTAAAATACATGTATATAGCGAAAACCACAAATGTTAATTTTCCAGGAGTTTCAAGGAGTAATCTTGTTTTTCCAGGATTTTCCAGTAGTGGAAATCACATTTTCATTTTTTTAAGAGTTTCAAGGAGTGTGCGAACATTGCTAGAGTCGGTGACATTGAATATCCTTTCATATTTCAAAGTTAAGGAGGCATTTAGACATCCTCACCAATCATCAATGAGCATTAAGCAGCTTATCAGATTCAAATCCCGTGAAAATCCGACACATAAGATGCCATCAAGAGTTTATTAAGGTCTTTTCGTGTTAATTAATGTCTAATTAATAGTTTAGATAACATTTCAGGCCTAAACAAAGACGTGCAATAGGCAGATTTAGCTCTTGCATAATGTACGTTTAATAAGTAAATGTAGGGTCAATTTTCACAGACCTGGTAAGGTTTAGAGGGGCGTTTTGAAAATTTTATGAAACATTTTCTTTTTATTTTCCTGAAACATTAATAGTTTATCCTATCATCTTGAGGGGATCACGTGGCTAAGTGGGTAAGACGCTGGCTCGCTAGCCTGGAGGTCGGGTGTTCGATCCCTGCATTGGACGAGAAGAAAGTTCATCCAGATTTTCTGGCGTGGTTCCCCCTTGTCAGAGATGCAAGACGGAGAGCCTGACAAGGACAGCTGTCTAGTCCTTCGGATGAGACGAAAAACCGAGGTCCTGTGTATACCTTGGAATGCACATAAAAGATCCCTTGGCAGTTGGAATTCGATAGAGTAGGCGATAGTGCCGCTGCCCGGGCAAAATTTCCCTCATAGCACACTGTATGGCGTATGCCCATCTTCATTAGCCCAGCATAGGAGCAGAACAGTAGGACGTTAAACCCCATTTCATTTCATTTCATTTCCTATCATCTTGTAAGATGTGATCAAAGTACATTCCACAAGATTTTATTCTGTGGTGTTTTTTTGGAAGAGTACCATACTATTTTGAATGTGGCCTTTTAGTGTCATACAGTGATTTCTACCTTTTTCTTGTAATATACCTCACGTGAGAAATTGCAGTGAAAAATGTGATAAGTAAAAAAACCAAGAAAAACCTTTTCTCCGTGCTGTAAACCTAATTTACCTCACATGAGAAAGTGCAGTAAAAAATGTGATAATTCAAAAAACCAAGAAAAACCTTTTCTCCGGGCTGTAAACCTTTTCTCCGTAGTGTAAACTCCACAATGTAAAGTTTTCTCTGCGGTGTAAACCTTTTCTCTGCGGTGTAAACCTTTTCTCTGCAGTGTAAACCTTTTCTCCGCGGTATAAAGTTTTCTTCGTCCGCAGAGAAAAGGTTTACACCGCAGAGTAAACTTTATACCACAGAGAAAAGGTTTACACTGCAGAGAAAAGGTTTACACTGCAGAGAAAAGGTTTACACTGTTTTTTTTTATATATCATAGTTTTCACTGCGATATCTCATATGAGGTATATTACAAAATAAGGTATAAATCAACCTATGGCACTAAAAGGAGAGAGAGAGAGAGAGAGAGAGAGAGAGAGAGAGCTGGTGTTTAAAGTCCACTCGACACAAACTAGGTCATTTCGGGACTAAAGTATGGTTTAATTTTATTTCAATAATTCGCTTGTGCGTAGGAGTCTTTAGCAGTGGGAGGAAACCGGTTGACCTGGAGAAAACCCATGAGGTTGGACAGGCGACTCTACTCCTTGTCATGTACAACCGGTGAATCAAAACCACGCCAGTTGACTCAATGACAGTCTTCATGATACAGAGTGCACACGCTAACCATTTTGACATCCCCTCCCCCCGGCACTAAAAGGCCATCGTAATTTTGAAATGATCTTAAGTTTAATTTCTCACCATGCTGTTTTTTGATAGGATACAGTTGATAATGGTGGTTCTGTTTTCAGTTCATTAAGATCAATGGTGTTAATTCTGTGGCTATTTAGATTGGTAATTGGATGTGCTTTTATAGCTTTAGTATCACTCAAACCTATATTATAGACTTTAGTTTTAATTTGATCTAATTTAGCCAGCGACACACTGCTTGCATTTGTCCATTTCTGAAAAAGGTAAAATATATTTCTTATATTTAGTTTAAAGGAGCTAAATCGCTAATATTTAGGACCTAGAAATTGACACATATACAATATGAATGTATATAAACTGATTTATATTCAATTGTTTCTGTTTTTACTCTAATTTAAAATCAGTTATGTTCGTCGAATTGTGCAAGAAGTATTAATCGAATGGCAATTTCTAGCATCTGGTTATTCCAGTCTACACCGGTAGTATTATTCCAAATAATATGGTGTCACCATTTGACATGACTTGTGGAATATGTCTAGCCTCCTTCTTCGAGTCCCTTGCTACAAATGGCTCTGAAACGCATTATGGTACACGAATCGTGTACCAATGGTAAAATGTTTATTTTGTCTTAAATATTGGATATCAGAAGCCCATCTTTTCCCGGCAAGATCACAACATCAATGTTAATTTAAATTGACAAATAATTCGTGTTTTCAATGTGGAAGACTTTGGATGATATTATTAAGTTAGAGACTTAGCTACTTTAATAACGAACAAAGTTGTGTGGCGTTCCCTCTATAAATTTGGAGCCTATAATAATACTTTTGGTCCATGTAGGGTTTCTGAATGAAGTCATCAGAGTACTAAATGTTTTCTTTTTTTTTCTCATGGTTCTTTTTACTGGTCAGTTTTCAACAACTGTCATAAATCGTGACATTTATACAATGAATCATTGAATGATCAACCAACAGACATGTCAAATTTACATAAAGAAGATTTATTTTGAAGAGTTTATTATTTGATCTTATACCTTTGAAGCGATTGCTCGGATTTCTTCACATTGATCGATTAAATCTGGATCCAGATCAATGTGAAACATCGGATCCATGTCGCTTTCAACATGAAAAGATTGTTTGTGTCAACTTCCACTAAACGGCCATGACAGTTCTTATCAATACGTGTGATTCATTGCATCTGATTGGTTTAAGCTGTTATGTAACAGTATTTTTTAGCCCGACACGGGCGAAAGAACGAGCACCTTACACTAACTCCTTCTAAAGTTTTCCGCACGCGTGCGCACAACGGTATTTCCCTTAGTTACCGAAAACAACATGGCAGCCTACATGATGGAAACAAAGACATGAGATTGAGAAACCGTTTTTCCATGAATAACAATGGCGTGAGTAGATTTACGTGAGCATCCATAAATAATGAATCTAACAAGTTTCTTGAACTGATACCCACAACCATGCATAAGTGACATTCAGGGGACAATAAAATCGATCATCCGAAACAAGAGAAGATGGATCGTCTGCATTATTTATTGTCCCAGAAGAGTTGTCAGTTGATATTATCAAGCTTAATTGAAAAACACGAAACAGCTTACTGTCTATCAAATTAAACACAACACGCAATTTCTAAAAGAACTGAAGAAAAGATATATCCTTTAAAAAAGAATTATTGTCAGTTAAAAATAATTCCTAAAACTGTCCTCTATAGTCTTGTTTATTGTTCGGCCCTACTTTACTCAGGCCGAGGCCTTGTGTGTTTACAAATAAGTGTAACCACAATCATCTTGCCCCCACCAAAAGAAGCCCAGCAGATCTTCATTAACCTTTAGGCTTATTCACATTGCATGAAAAGTAGCCTCATATATTGTCTCCATGTAAGTGACTTAAAGTACAGTAGGCCTAGTGGTGGAGAATATTCTAGTGTAAAAATCTACTTATTAAATATTTTTACACCAAAAATCATAAATAATTTATAGTGTACTACTGCAGGCAATTTACGTTTTGTTTCATTTTTTTATACTATAGGATGGAAATTGATACATATGTATAAAGGTTTACCATAAATTAACAATAAAATATCAACATGTCAGCAGAAAAAGATCCCAGCGAAGTTTCAAAGTTATCTTTTGAAAAGGAAGAAGAGTTAAAACAATCTATGGTCGAACCAAAAACGGATTCTGATCATGTCGAAGTATCAGACAGGAAGGAAGAAGGAGTAACTGTAGTAGTGCATGAAGAAGAGGGGGGTGACACTGGACATCAAAATGAAGTTGAGCCTCCCGATCCCAGATCGGATCCAAATTTTGTTAATATTCATCAATTCTTTCCATCTTTGGAACATTCATTTACAAAAACATCAACAAAATTTGCTGAAGAACAGGATAATAGAATGGAAGCAGCGATTAAGGATTTTGTTGCAGAAGATTCAACAGTTTTTAGTGGTAAGTTCAAATTAATATGTAACTGTGTAGTTTTTTCTTATTATTAATACAATTGTGCAATTAAATACGCAGTCAAAGAGAGAGAGAAATAAGGCACAAACTAGGTCCTTTCTGGACTAACACATGGTTCATATTTATTTCAATAATTCGCTTGCGCGTAAGGGTCTTTACCAGTGGGAGGAAATTGGAGGACCCGAAGAAAACCCACGAGGTTGGACAGCTAGGCGACCCTACTTCTTGTCACATACAACCGGGGAATCGAAACCATGCCAGTTGACTCAATGACAGACCTTGTGATAAAATTCACACGCGCTAACCATTCGGCCTTCTACCCCCCAGTGAAATAGTTCAATATGATCTTATGGATGACAGACCTTATGATATAATGCACACACGCTAACCATTCGGCCATCTACCCCCAGTGAAATAGTTCAATATGTCATGTTTGTTCTTATTTATAGAGCATGGTACCAACAAGCAGTTAGCGTTGACGTCTGAAGCTGCCAGTTGGTCCACTGATACCTGGGGACCTGATTATAACAATTCAGCTGATAGAAATATGGATTCAAAGGTAAAATAATTTGTTTATTCAGCGTGTATTGTTCAGCAGTAAACTAAAACCTGTCTGGGTTAGAATAAACTTTTATGTAGTCTACATAATAAAGTCGAAGGAACGCTAGATCAGAGAGTCTGACACATATGATGTCATGTGGAGTGTGGGTTAGGGTAAGGTTTAGGACTGCAGATTACGTCAAAGTCTGGAGATATAAACAGGGCTAGTGCCAACCCTATCCCCAGCCCTAAACCTTATCCTAACCCTAACCCACAATCCACATACAACGCCATTTGTGCTAGACAGTCTCCAATCTTAACGTTCTCCAATAAAGTCACACCACAAGTCCAATGGAGCTTTAAAGTAAAATGTTTGATTCATCTTATGTGTTTATAAACATTCATATAACAGTGAGAAGCCGAGAATATTAAATATTATACATGTATATTATTAAATGACATTAAAGGAACAGTTAATTTATTCACACATTGAATACAGAAATATATAATAAATAAGACATTCAAATAACAGATACATTTAAATCAGCACAAGAGAGGGAGAGAGAGAGAGAGGAGCACTAGCACTCAACCACAAACTAGGTCATTTTGGGACTAACATAGGGTTCAATATTACTTCAATAATTCGCTTGTGCGTAGAGTCTTTAGCAGTGGGGAGAGAGAGAGAGAAATGGGGTTTAACGTCCACTCTGGTCACAAACTAGGTCATTTTGGGACTAACATATGGTTTAATTTAATTTACATAATTCGCTTGCGCGTAGGGGTCTTTAGCAGTGGGAGGAAACCGGAGGACCCGGAGAAAACCCACGAGGTTGGTTTAGCAGTGGGAGGAAACTGGAGGACCAGGAGAAAACCCATGAAGTTGTACAAGCAACCCCAATGCATGTCAGTACAACAGGGAAATCGAAACCACGCCAGTTGACTCAATGACAGACCTTATGATACAATGCGCCATCTAACCCCCCTCAACACAAAAGATTACACATAGCTTATCAAATACAAAATTTAAGGACAGATAATTATTCAACACAAAACATTACACATATTAAAAAGGGGCAAAACGGATATGTGTTTTGTGGAATGGGACAATGGTTAACAATTCTTTTGCCAAAAAATCATCTTTAATATATGCATAAAAGGTGAAGGCTTGAGAAGAATGTTTAAGATGTCAAATAAAACTGATTATTTAAGTTCAGTTTCTAAATAGATAAGCATATTATTACCAAACAAATGTAATTAAGTCTAATGAAGTAGACTGGTTGTAATGTTATATTATTCTTTTATGACAAATGCAGCTTTTTAGGATATTCTTTGGAAAAAATATAGACCCTAACTCACAAAAAAAGGAACGACAGCCTCGGAAAAAAAGGACTAAAAAACAAAAGACTAAGGACCGAAAGGTAGAATGTATCAATTGATTGGATGTTATTGCATATTATTCCATTTTATCTGGTTTTATTTATGTTTTTTAATTGTGCATGATAATTTAGATACCACTGGTAGTTGTTGAAATTGACTTAAAGGTACATTATGGGAGATTAAATAAAGAGCTGGCAGTTTTCACTATAATAGTTAAAAACTAGATAATGTAAAGGGAATTTGCTGAAATTTTCAGTCAGATTGCTCCACTCTAAACCAAGAATTTAGCGATTGAATTTCCGGCCTAGTCTCAATCATCATTACTAAAGTCCGTACAATAAAACTCATAATCTCGATTATCCATTTCTTGATTTAATCATGAATGAAAGTTGAGCAGCAAATCAGATCCTAATCCAGGAAATATCGCAGGCTAGCGATGACATCGAGAGTTGATTATGGTCTAGATAAGTTACTTAATTTCTAATTAATAATTTAGATAACATTTCAGGCCTAAAGAAAGACCTGCAATAGGCAGATTTAGCTCTTGCATGATGTATATTTAAATTGTATTTTATTATTATTTATAAGCATATTTTGATTGTTATTAAATTTATTTGTTATGTTATTATTATATCCAGCCCCCCTCCCTCCAATCCCACCCAACCTTCTATTTGTACTTATAATTATTGTATATAAGTGTATTTTAAACGATCCTATATAAAATTGTTGTATATATTTATATACCAGAAGCATTATAGCAGATAATGCACATGGAAGAACTCTGAATATCCAACAAACTGGTTGCTCAAGAGTGCTATCTGCATAAGATATCTTTAAAAGATGAAAATAACCTTGACACAATAAACATTTTAAACACATTGAAGCATTGAACAGAATGTCCGAACTGGTAAAATTACCATAAACAAAATAGTTATTGACACTAAGGGTAAACAGATTTAAAAGAGTTCAGTCTTAAGAGATTTCTTAAAAGATGTCATGTTTTTAGAGTCTTTAGTCTTTTTTTGATAGCCTATTCCATAATGTTAGTACTCATTTGTGTTGTGTGATTTAAAACAGTGTCCAATTTATTATTAGCTGATTCTCGATATAAATGCAGACTTAGTATTAGTTTGAAAGATATCAACACATTCTTTTACTAAAACTTTTAGTGACCATTTTATTATATACAGATTAGTGCTACTGACTTAGATTTGAGACGTAAATGTATTATTACCTTTGACTAATACTAGAAGACTACAATCTGATTAAAACACAGATCCTATTTCGTTTCGTTTTGTTTTTTATAGTTCAAAATTTTGTTTTACTTGTCTTTACTACACTAGGATCTGGAAGAGTTGTTATAATATAACCCGTGTTCTGGCTGATGTGAGAGATTAGCCAATGAAACTGTCTGTTACAGCGTGAGGTGCACAGAACTGTGGGTATCCCCAATCAACGCTGATTGGTTAATCAGATATCTGACATCATAGGGTCAAAAGCTGCACGTATGACCTCTTAGCTCTGACGTGACCGTCAACCAAAACCGGTCAGATCTTCATGTACAACAGGTCAGATCTTTATGTAGTGTAGGCCATCGAAAGTATAATAAAAAACGAAATGAAATATAGATCTGTATTTTAATCAGATTGAGATTCTAATAGTCTCATTTACTTTCATGTTGACTTTCATGTATTTTTTCAGACAGGAGATGAGAATGTTTTTGCTACAACTATTGATGAAGAGACACTGACGGCAGCCAAATCTAAAAGTAGTAAAAGTATCTTTAATACAGAAGATTGGCCAGGTGCTAGATCACCCAGTCCCACATTTGATGAGATCTTGATTAACAAGGCTGTAGAACAGTAAGTACATGTATTGTAAATTTAAATAGAAATCTCATGAGGACTGTGGTTGTCGAGCTATCTGGGAACTGGTTCTCAACTAGAAGGTCCAGAGTTCAAATCCCAATGTAGAACAAGAAGAACCTTTATACTAGGTTCACACTATCATGATTCGTGGTACGATTTGAAATCGTGGTTTTAAACGTGGATTAATCATGATGATCCTATCAGCTGTTATCATATATTGAGGTCAGTCATAGCAATCGCGTTGATCGTATCGAAACATATCCGAAAGTATCTGCACGTACCAGATTGTGGACTCAATAGGGACAATCCTATCGTTACACATCGCACGACAGTGGGAACCCAGTATAAGGATTTTTCAAATAGAACTTTCAAACGTCAGGACTAGTGTCCGTGGGGTAGACATGGAAAATGTTCCCATTTGTCCGAAAGTCCTTGGCAGTTGGAAATCGAAAAAGAGTAGGCCATGAACACTGCTGTCCAGGCAAAATTCTTAAGTCGCCATAGAAATGAAATGAAATGAGGTTCAACGTCCTACTGATCTGCTCCGACTGGGAAAAAATGAAGACGGGCATACGCCATACAGTGTGCTATGAGGAAAATTTTGCCTGGGCAGTGGCACTATGGCCTACTCTTAGATCAATTTTCAACTGCTGAGGGATCTTTTACGTGCACACCATTTTATAAACAGGACCTCAGTTTCTCGTGCCCTCCGAATGACTAGACAGCTGTCCTTGTCAGGACCCCCTTCCTGCATGACTGACAAGAGGAAACCACATCGGAAAAGTCACCATAGAAATAACTGAAGTATTGTGATGACGAGATATTGAATCTTATTTGATTCCTTTTAGCTCAAAATGTATGGTTTCTGAAATAATCAAATGGCATAAAATACTGTTGAAATTATTAAAAATTGACATCTAACAAAATTCATTTTAATGTTATTATTGTATAAGATTTTTAAACATTATTTTATATCTTCTTTTACTTTTTGCGGGGTTGGATGGCCGAATGGTTATCGCATGCGTGTTGTATCATAAGGTCTGTCATTGAGTCAACTGGCTTTAACAAGGGGTAGGGTTACCTGTCCAACCTTGTGGGTTTTCTCCGGGTCCTCTGGTTAATAATAATAATTATTAATATTATTCTATTATTATTATTCTTATGGTTTCCTCCCACTGTTAAAGACCCCTACGCATAAGCGAATTATTGAAATAATATTGAACCATATGTTAGTCCAGAAAGTTTGAGTCGAGTGGACGTTAAACCCCATTTATTTCTCTCTCTGTCTTTTAATTTTATTTCTCATTTGATTTCAGCTACGAACATGCTATGGAATTAAAAGAAAAGGGTGACCATAAAGCATCTATTCGGCTTTTAAGCAAGGCTATTGCTCTTCAATCAGAGGATCATTTGTTTTATGTTGAAAGAGCAGAAAACTATGTTCAGCTATGTGATTTTCAGTCGGCCATCTTGAATTACAAGAAGGCGTGTTTAATTGCACCTAATAATGATAGTTACTACTCGAGACTAGCTTTTCTTTATTTCTACCTCGGACAATTGCTGTTTGATCAGAGACTTTACCCAGAATCCCTAGAATTATTTTCAAGAGCTTCCGAGATGAAACCAGATAATACAGGATATCACATCAGAAGGTAAATTATTACGAGATTTTAAAATTGTTTTGCCAAAATAACTGAATTGTTTTTCGTTGCCAGCTGTTATTTCTAATAGTACGTGCAGGATTACTGCATTATTATATACACAACCTGGCCATTAGTGGCCAACAATGGATTATCTATCTAATTAAAACAGGGGATAATCTCCAGATTTTTCAAGCCCAGGTTCTCACTTGGGCTGACCTTAAAAATATCTTTGTTTCACCAAACCCGACCCACAATCGAGGAGAAGGGTCGGTAGGTCGGGGTTTTTTTCAGATTTTTTTTTAAGAGCTAATTTGACAGCTTGATAATTTTCCGGGTGCAAACATTCGTCTTCTTTTATTGTCAAACAAATCAATGACATCGGGATTATTCGTGATGCACGACTCGCACACGAATTGCCAGAAACTGACGTTTGAAACTCCCTCAACACGTTTTTTAACGATCGTGCGGGTTGTGCCTTCATTTTTCTCGAAAACGGATATTCAATATCCGTTTTCGTGAAAAATAGAGGCAGAATCATTTGGTGGGAATGGACGTGCTTTCGTCTACAACCATTTTGTTGAGAAGCGACACCTATGATGCTTTCGTCTTGATCAACCAGTTTCAATAATGAATCAAACCATAGCCATAGTAAAGGGAAATAACTCTCGTGATATATTTCAGGTTGACACACAAAATAAAATAAAAAGATCGCGGAAAAGTGCAATAAAATAATTTAAGTCGGGGGTGGTTTTAGTTAGTCGGTCGCGTTAGGCGAAACAAAGATATTTTTAAGGTCAGCCTTGTCAGTAGAATTGCATACATGACCATATAAAAACAACTATCCTTTTCACTTATGTTCTTGAGCTGCTAGGTTACTTAATGACTAATTTACAGAACAGAAATATGTAAAATTCACAGGCACTTGAAGGGATTAAAATAAAACTAGTGTACTCTTGATCACTAGTTCTAACACTTTCGGTCATTTCTATTGCCAACGAGACTTTATTTGATCATTATATACCTTCCAATGTAAATAAATTGGTCATTTTATAGCGTTATTAATTACAGATCAAACTTGAACCATTACCTTAGGTTACGGTATTTGAGATAATTTTCTAAATTTAAAACAGAAAACACAAAATCTATACATTAATAGAACAAGAACAATCTGAGAGGAGATAGCTGCCCCAAGATTTTCTCCATTCCCAGTAGCAATATTTGCTCATACCATTAAACTTTGTATTAGCAAGGAGCCACGGTGGCTAAGTGAGTAATGCACTGGCTCTCTAAGCTTGGCAGTTGCATGTTCGATCCCGGTTTTGACCGAGAAAGTCCATCAGGATTTGGTTACCCCTTGTCAGTGGTGCAAGATGAAGGATAGCTGTCTAGTCATTCGGATGGGGTGAAAAACCGAGGTCCCCCTGCATACACGTAAAAGAACCCTTGGCAGTTGGAATTCGATATAAGAGTAGGCTGTAGCATCGCTGTCTGGGCAAAATTTCCCTCATAGCACACTGTATGGCGTATGCCTGTCTCCATTAGCCCAGTCGGAGTAGAACAGTAGGACGTTAAACCCCATTTCATTTGTATTAGCAATGTGATTCACACTGACACAATCTGAAAGAAAACTAAGTAATCTTAAATTCCAACAGTGATTCTTCCTTATTCCGACATTTCCAACATGGGTTAGTTTAGTTATTTTGGTTTTAAATTTCAAGCATGACCTTTTTCTATCCAAGATTTCCCCCATTTGAAACTCAATTGATTGGTCAAAATTACTAGTTTTTAGTTTTAAAAGTTGCAAGCATGACCTTTTGCTATTAAAGATTTCCCCCATATGAATCTCGATTGAAGTACATGTGATTGGTAAATATTACAAATTTTGGGCACCAATCATCAGTCTAAGTAATAATATCAATCAACGAAACTAATAGAGATCATCTATTTAGCCCTTAATCCCATAATAAATCCTATTTATTAAACCCACCACCTGGATCTTCGACTGAAGGATTGTTAATAAATATTCTTGAATCTTTGGATCTAGGGCCGGCTGATCTGATTAAAATACAGATCTATATTTCGTTTCATTTTTTTATACTTTCGATGGCCTGCGTCAGAGGTCATATGAGTGGCTTTTGACCCTATGACATCAGATATTTGATTAACCAATCAGTGTTGATGTTTCTAGTGGGTTACTCACAGTTCTGTGCACCTCATGCCAAAAACTCGCCGTAACAGACTGTGTCATTGACTGATCCCTCACATCAACCAAAATGCCAGTAATATAACACCTCTTCCAGATCCTAGTGTAGTAAAGACAAGTAAAACGAAATTTTGAACTATAAAAAACAAAACGAAATAGGATCTGTGTTTTAATCAGATTGCAGTCTTCTAGTATTAGTCAAAGGTAACAATACATTTACGTCTGAAATCTAAGCCAGTGGCACTAATCTGTATATAATGGTCATGACTTAAAAAGACACTAAAAGAATGTGTTGATATCTTTCAAACTAATACTGAATCTAGGTCTAACAAATTTCTTCTAATGATTCACTTTATTGATATGTATTATGTGTATATTTACCACTAGTATTTCATGTGTATATTTACCACTAGTATTTCATGTGTATATTTACCAGTAATTCATGTGTATATTTACCAGTATTTCATGTGTATATTTAACAGTATTTCATGTTTAGCTGCTTTACAAAGACATGGTGAATGTTTAGCTCTAGTAAACAAGAGATTAGAAACAGATAAAAATAATTCTGATCTCCTTATAATGAGAGCCAGGTTGCATGAAATGTTCAGAAATGTAAGTTTGAATATTTTCTAGTTCTAAGTTCTAACCCTCACTTATCAGTGTATACATGGTAGTGCTCCTACGGTTAGGACTTTTTGTTATTCGAATAGCCGTAGCTATTAACCGGTTAGTAACCGTTAACCGTATGGTATCAATTTTAAACATAAAACAGAGCTTGTCAGGAGGTGCGAGTCATTACTCGTGCGCACGCTATACTCGCCTAAAAGGCATTACACGCACAAAAATTTCAGGAATTCTTTAATGAAAATTTAAACTATCTTAGGCCGTAGTTATTTATTTACCTGGTTAACTTGGTTCATTTGAAACATTTTTTAATTCAATATATATCTACGATAATATACAAAACAATACTCTGTTTCCCTTCGTACGTGACAGATGGCAGATTACACAATGTTACTAAGAATAGAATAAAGTAAATTGGAAGACGTCTATTGATTGGACAATAAAAAATTAATTCCCCGCTTGCAAGTAGAATTTTTATGATTGGTTAATTTAACTAAAAACCAAAGTAGAATTCTTGCGAGAAATTACGTGTTGAATGTCGTAACGAATCTAGTATAATGTCATTTTCTATCCTTTATGATTATATTTTGAATGGTGGTTACGTTTTTAAGTAAATAATAAACAAGGTAGAATATAGTTAGAAATGCCGAGAAGTATTTAGATTGGATTAACATTAGCTAAAGTCAGAACAAGGTCCATTGACTTTGCCGTATGACTACGACAAGTGCTATTAATAGAATCATTGTTTAGCAGTCGACATCGTAGGACGACTGTTACATTCTAAGATTTTCAAACATCAAATACAAAATGACAACGGGCAAGTTTTGTTATAAAGAGGAATATAATCAGACACAACTCTATGTAATGGGGGACATCTCCGAATAACCTTACCGTTGAATTCGAACCGTTTAACCGTCCAGTTCTAACCGTTTACCGCTATCCGACTAGTCGTAGGAGCACTAATACACGGCACAGCATCAGGCTACCTATGTAATACAATTCATAAATACTCTCCATCTAGATCACTCCTTTCTGGTTCCCAGTGTTTATTAACTACTCCAAAGTATAACCTGAAAACTTTTGGCTGCAGATCATTTGCCTATAATGCAGCACATACATGGAACTCTCTGCCACTACATCTATGGACTGCTCCATCTTTAAGCATCTTCAAACATAAACTCAAAACTTACTTGTTCCAGTGTTCATATTTATAACTGTTTTCTGTAACCTTTCATAGCGCTTTGAGCTAATAATACTGTTTGGAGTCTAGCATCATTAATTATTTTGTTCATAATACAGATTTCCTTGGAAGCCTGCAGTATGTAGACAGAGGAGAATCTCCAGATTTTTCAAGCCTGGGTTCCCACTTGTCAGTAGAATTGCACACATGACTATATAAAAAATAACTGTCCTTTTCACTGATGTTCTTGGGCAGAAAGGTTACTTAATGACACTTAATTTACAGAACAGAAATATGTAAAATTTGGGCATTGTTCACATTTAACATTATATCTTGCTTATATTAATTTCTGCTCTTACATTAGGTCCACGGTGTTTGAGATAATTTTCTAAATAAAACAATTTGTTTTTCAGACAACCTTATGTTATTACGATGTGAAAGATGCTCTGAATATAGATGAGAATCATTCTGTAGCTAAAGAAATGATGTATAGTCTAGAGAAAGCAGCTGAAGATAGTAAGAAACAAGCCATGCAACTTAATATATTAGGAAAACATAGAGAAGCTCTACAGAAAATATCAATAGCTATAGAAACTAACCCTGCTGTTAGTTCTTATCATGTTTTAAGGTATTTTTTGTTATTATTACTTTTATTATCTCTCACCAATTTGGGCGGTTGGCTGGCCGAATGGTGCGTGCGTGGTGTATCATAAGGTCTGTTATTGAGTCAACTAACTTGTACTTTCGTTTTTAGAGGAAGAACAAGATTTGAAATTGGTATGGCATTAGCTTACATGAATATAAAGAAATAAAATAAAATGGGGTTTAACGTCCTACTGTTCTGCTCTGACTGGGCTAATGAAGACAGGCATACACGCCATGCAGTGTGCTATGAGGGAAATTTTGCCCGGGCAGCGGCGCTACTACATGAATACAAATATATTAAACAAATCCATGAACAGCCATAAAAAAACATATTTTGAAGTTTCTTGAAAGACGTTTGGAAAAGAGAAACTTCAAACAGTAGATTTGCTTTATTTTTAAAAGCCTGTTTGGAGAGAGAAAAAAAATGGGGTTTAACTTCCACTTAACACAAACTAGGTCATTTCGGGACTAACATGTGGTTTAATTTTATTTCAATAATTCGCTTGTGTGCAGGGGTCTTTAGCAGTGGTAGGAAACCTGAGGACCTGGAGAAAACCCACGAGGTTGGACAGGCGACCCTAATCCTGTCATGTACAACCGGGTAATTGAAACCCTGCCAGTGGACTCAATGACAGACCGTATGATACAGCCAGCGCGCACATGCTAACCATTCGGCCATCCAACCCCCCAGCCTGTTTGGAAGGCATAACAATTATTAAAATTTGGAAATTTCCAGATAGAAATTTTGAAACCTATAAATAGCCTTTCATTTATTTTCACATTTTATCCAAATACATGGTATGTAAGATATTAATTCATCTTTTTGATTTTTTTTTTTTTTTAGAGGTGCCTTACATCGTAAATTAGGTGATTTTAATTCAGCAATAGATGATTTTCTATTGGCCTTAGATAAATGTGACCATGAGGAGGATAATCCAGTCTATATAGATTCACAGAGACAATTATTATTGACTTATAACGATTTCGCAGTAGAATGTTTCAATAAAGGTTTTTATGAGGAGGCTATTATTTTAATTAATAAAGCTATTAAAGGAGAGAAGAGAGAAAAGGGATTATATATCAATAGAGGAGGTATGCTATTATTTTATTTAAAGGGATATGTTACTCGATTCTTTTTTTTTTAGTCAATTTAAAGCGGAAATTGCAAATTTTCTAAGAAAGTCAAAACATAATTATTTCTATGTCTTTTGCTCAATAGGTTGTCAACTCACAATTATACAGTCATAGGTGTCATTCTCACACTTAAAACTCATTTACACAGGAAATAATAACACAATTACCTCCCTTGTTTTCTATTCTCCACCATGGAGTAGCTTTTTTCAAATGTTTGAAAATGAAGAAGAAAATTATATTTTTGCCAATTTCTCAGCTGGCAATAGTGAATTATAGGATTAATAGGATTATTCTTTAACAAGGTAGGACTGTTTATGGATACCATCTATTTTCAGGCTTTATTTTAATAAATTTTAAAAATATAACTTAAAAATTTGCAATTTCCGCTTTAATGCAATCTGATGAAAACACAGATCCTATTTCGTTTTGTTTTTTATAGTTCAAAATTTCGTTTTACTCGACTTTACTACACAAGGATCTGGAAGAGTTGTTATATAACTCGCATTCTAGTTGCTGTGAGGAATTAGCCAATGAAACAATCTGTTACGGCAAGTTCATGGCGTGCTCTGCATGGAACTGTGGGTAAACCCCTAGAAACGTCAACGCTGATTGATTAATCAATGCCTGACGTGATAGGGTCAAAAGCCGCTTGCATGACCTCTGACACGACCTTTCAGGACAATCAATCAGATCTTCATGAAGTGTAGGCCATCAAAAGTATAAAAAAAACGAAAGGAAATATAGATCTGTGCTTTAATCAGATTGTATTTTATCTAGTTGTATGAAAAGATTAAATGAATGTAAATTTGGTCATTATTTATTAAGAAAATAGATTTTTGAAAGTCATGTATATATAGCATATAGCTGAACTAGTAAATATTTTAATCAGACTGGTTTGTTCACATACAATTTGACCTTGTTTATGAATTATGTCAAATAAAGAATGCATGTGTTGGGTGATATTTTCTTGAATAGCTTCACACACATATAAAACATATTTATTCACTAAATTAGTTCTCCCTTGCTCTTTTTGGCCAATAATTAAAAAGTTTGAGTCTTTTTATTGATACCAATATTGATACACCTACATTGAAAACACCATAATTCATTTTGTCGCTGTGGCTCATTAAGCAAATTGACCACAAAAAATTAAATGAAAAATACCGATCTCTCTAATTATTGTTCATACATTTATTTGTAATAAAATTATATGTTTTATGAAACCTGTCTGTTCATTCAACATACATTATGCAAGAGCTAAATCTGCCAATTGCAGGTCTTTCTTTACGCCTGAAATGTTTTCTAAATTATTAATTAGACATTAATTAACTTATCTAGGCCATAATCAACACTCGATGGCATCGGATTTCTCCGATATTAAATAGATTAGAACAGTTGAGCCATATTTTGATTTAAGTGAGACTTGGCTTCGAACAACCAGTACCGTGGTTGAAATTATTGCACACACCTTGTCAAGCGTTCAAAGGCTATTGTCTTCGCTCGCAATAGAGTAATTTGAATGGAATTTTAATATTATTCATTTTACATTATTTATTTTGAACTATTATAGCAAGAATGGCTAGCTCTTTATCTAAATCTTACATAATGTATCTTTAATAATTAAATTTTTTACAGATTGTTTTTTAAAACAAGATGAGTTGAACTTTGCCCTTCAAGATTATCATCAAGCTCTGGAGATTGACGGCCAGGATGCGTTTATACGAACTAGAATATCTGTTATACATGCTGAATTTGCTCATTCCGCTTATCAAGATAAAAATTATAATGTAAGTTCCTGGAAATATCTGATTACTTGTGATTCAATATTTGTCAGCCATCATGAGCAGGAAAATCGAAGAGAGTACTGTTTACCTTTTCAATTTTTATATGCCCACATTTTCATGTGGACATGTTATGCCGTCGCCCCTGTCCGTCCGTCTACAATTTGTTTGTGGAGACTTTACAGGTCACAATTTTTATCCGATTTTGATGAAACTTGAAATATAGGTTTATCTCCAAAAGATCTCAATTCCTTTCGATAATGGCATTGCTCGGACCATAACTTCATGGATTATGGCCCCTGATTATACTAAAAAATCGTGATTTTAGCTTGTGAACACTCTAGAGGTCACAATTTTCATCTGATTTTGATGAAACTTGAAATGCATGTTTATAACCCAAAGAATGGCCCTTCATTGTTACACCCTAATGATGGTTGAGTTTGAATTTCATAATAATCGAATCAAAATTGCCGCTCCTTGTACGCAAATAGTGTAAAAGTATATAATACCAAGGTTGTGAACCTTTTAGAGGTCACAATTTTTATACGCCCACATTTTCATGTGGACGTATATTGTCGTCGCCCCTGTTCGTCTGGACAATTTGTTTGCAGACACTCTACAGGTCACAATATTTATCCGATTTTGACGAAAATTGAAATATAGGTCTATCTCCCAAAGATCTCGATTCCTTTCGATATTGGCATGTATCAGACCATAACTTCATTGTACGAAAAATCACGATTTTAGCTTGTGGACACTCTAGAGGTCACAAATTTGATCCGATTATGACCCCTGATTGTACGAAAAAACGCTTGTTTTTTTTAGCTTGTTCTCTGTCCATCTCTTGCAAAATGTGTGCGTATCTTGCATGGCAACTGCTTGTTTATGGTTATGTAGTTTTGTCAGTAAACAACAGTCAGATGGCTGAAGAAACAATTAAATTTATTGATATACCCTACTTTTAATGTGTTTAAATTTCTAGTCAGCAGTAATTATTTAAAATTGTTTTTGTCTTTTTAGGAAGCGTTATCTAAAATGTCATTAGCTATACAATATAACCCAACAGTTGGTGGATATTATGTCTCGAGAGCTCGTGCAAAATATATGTTAGAGGTAAGTAGAAATATACAAAGGGAGACAATTGATTAGGTTCAAAATTTTTAAATGTTCTGAAAAATAAAATTTCTAAATAGTATTATAATTTTGATAAAAGATTTAGATGAAATGTACATAAATAAAACAAATTATAAAGTATAATTGCAGAACTTCTTTGATATTAATAGTTAGAACAATTTATTCGTGTTCAGATAGTGTCAATGGGGGTAACTCTTTATAGCTGGTTTTAGCAGTGATTACTGTTGAATGGAGAGAGATGGGGTTTAATGTTCACTCGATACAAACTAGGTCATTTCAAGACTAACATATGGTTCAATTTTATTTCAATAATTTGCTTGCACGTAGGGGTCTTTAGCAGTGGGAGGAAACTGGAGGACCCAGAGAAAACCTACGAGGTTGGGCAGTTATTCCTATCTGGGAATCAAAACCACCCCAGTTGATATAAATAAGCCAGTGCCACCTATAAGTGTTTGGTAAAATGTTTTTAATCTGAATGAATCAAAGCGGTGATTTAGACATGAAAAAAAAAAAATTGTCCGAAAAATGCAAATGACGATCAATAATTTTTATAAATGTATTAACAGTAATTTCTATTTCTGTACTGGATTAATAATATCCTAAATAGAATTCTATTTCACCAGTTTAACAAGTTAATTTAGAAGACTTTAAATGAAATGAAATGGGGTTTAACATCCTACTGTTCTGCTCCTAAACTGGGCTAATGAAGAAGGGCATACGCCATACAGTGTGCTATGAGGGAAATTTTGCCTGGACAGCGGCCTACTCTTATATCAATTTCCAACTGTCCAGGGATCTTTTACGTACATGCCAATGTGTACACAAGACCTTGGTTTTCCGTCCCATCCAAACGACTAGACAGCTGTTCTTGTCAGGCCATCCGCCTTGCATCACTAACAACGTGGGAACCACGCCAGAAAATCTGGATGAACTTTCTCGGCCAATGTAGGGATCGAACACCCGACCTCCAGGCTAGCAAGCCAGCATTTTACCCACCTAGCCACCATGACCCCCTAAAGAAGACATTTAAATAATTTTACTTGTGTAAGAAAAATGTTTGTTTTTGTTAATAGGATGCTAACGGAGCGAGACAAGATCTGATATTAGGGATGTTGTTAGATCCAACCAATGAGGACATAGTAACCATATTATCAAGGTTATTCCCAGGTAAATCAGTGATTGACATCATCAATAGTCGAGCAGCAGATGCAGGTAGATTAGCTTTAAGAAATCTGATGCCTACAGCTTCACCAGTTAGATTACAACCTCTTGCACTTCCACAGTAAGTTTTATGACAGTATATTATCAGTCTGATCAAAATACAGATCTATATTTTGTTTCGTTTTGTTTTTTTTATACTTTCGATGGCCTACACTACATGAAAATCTGACCGGTTATATTGGGATGTTACGTCCGGGGTCATACGAGCGGCTTTTGATCCTATGATAGCAGACATTTGATTAACCAATCAGCGTTGATTTTTCTAGTGGGTTACCCACAGTTCGGTACATTGCACGCCAAGAACTCAATGCAACAGAATGTTTCATTGGCTAATCCCTCACATCAACTATATAGAATGTGGGTTATATAACAACTCTTCTAGATCCTAGCTTAGTAAAGACAAGTAAAACGAAATTTTGAACTATAAAAAACGAAACGAAATAGGGTCCGTGTTTTAATTAAATTGTTGATTTATTAGCTTATTTTTCTGGCAATGAACAGCATCTAGACAATCCGGTTGGATGAAAAGCCAAAGCAACGTGTTTACCATTTGCAGTACATTAATGATTCCCTGGCAGTCGGAAATAGAAATATCCAGGCAAATAACAGATTGTAGGACAAATAATTAGCACCCATTTTATAGTACCTTTTTTATACATTTGGATTTTTATTCTCGGACTTATCGTTGTAAATTAAAATGACAAATTTCTATTACAATTCTTATAAGTTTGCTGTTAAAATTTCAAAACGCAAATATAGACTAGTCAAATTTTCATTTATTATTGATTTTGGTGTGCTGAATACTATGGCAGGTATTTTAGATATGATGTCATAGATATGTCATAGGTGCGTAAAGAAATCATTATTGGCTTCTTTAGTGTCAATTACCTGTCTGTAATATATTTATAGGCTCTAAAGTCAGTGGGGGGGCACGTTGTATCATAAGGACTGTCATTGAGTCAACTGGCGTGGTTTCAATTCCCCGGTTGTACGTGACAAGCAGTAGGGTCGCCTGTTCAACCTCGTGGGTTTTCTCCTTTTCCTCCGGTTTCCTCCCACTGCTAAAAACCCCTACACGCAAGCGAATTATTGAAATAAAATTGAACCATATGTTAGTCCCGAAACGACCTAGTTTGTGTCGAGTGAATCTTAAATCCCATCTCTCGCTCTCTCTTCGGCTGTATGTGACAAGGAGTAGGGTGGCCTGTCTAACTTCGTGGGTTTTCTGCGGGTCCTCCGGTTTCCTCCCACTGCTAAAGACGCCCTACGCGCAAGCGAATTATTGAAATAAAATTAAACCATATGTTAGTCCCGAAATGACCTAGTTTGTGTGAGTGGACATTAAACCCCATTTCTGTCTCTCTCTCATGTCGGTAGTTTGTAAGATATCCTGATTTAGCCTCATTTGGCAATCATTTTGTTTTTATGCTAAATAATAAGTCAAAAACTCATAATTTGGCTTAGAAGCATGGATATTCATGTTCAGCACACCAAAATCATACAGAAAAGCAATTTTCCTCATTTTACTAAGAAATACTCCTAGATTTTTAAAGGATTTGACCAATCTGTTATTCTTTCATGTGAATATTTCAAATGTAAATGTTTTTAAAAAGAACTATCAAATAATTGTAGACCGGCTGACGTAAAGAATTCTGAAGAAGGGGAGAAAGAAACTGATGATAATCCTCCTGTAGTACCTCATCCACCATCAATACCAAAATGGAAACCAGAGAAGTGTATGCCAGATTTAAAAATGTGTATGCAAGAACAGGAATTTAACTTACAATTTGCAAAAGCTAAAAAGAAGGTTTGTATTATACGATTATTAACAGATCTATGGGGTTTATCGTGGTCGCCCCTGGACACTTCAGTCACAATTTTTATCTGATTTTGACGAAATCTGAAAATAGGTCTATCTCCAAAAGATCTCGGTTCCTTTCGATATTGGCATGTATCGAACCATAACTTCATGGATTATGGCCCCTGATTGTATGAAAAGTCACGCTTTTAGCTTGTGGATACTCTAGAGGTCACAATTTTTATCTGATTTTGATACAACTTCAAATGTATGTTTATAAGCTGAAGATCTTGGTGCCTTTCGATATTCGCGCATATCAAACCATAACTTGTGACCCCTGATTGTAATCACGTCTTTAAGCTTGTAGTCCCTCTAGAGGTCACAATTATTATCCGATTTAATAAAATGTTCGAGTTTATCACTGTAATGTTGGTCGAGTTCGAATTTTGTGATTCTCGAACCAAAACTGTTGGACAAAATGGCCACCTCTCGTACGCGAATAGTGTAAAACTATGGTATATCAAAGTTGTGGACCTTCTAGATATCACAATTTTAATCCGATTTTGATTAAACGTGAACTACATGTTTATAAACCCAAAGATCTTTGTTCCTTTTGATATTCGCGCATATCGGATCGTTACTTCCTGAATTATGGCCCTTGATTGTACGAAAAATCTTGTTTTTAGGATGTGATCCCTCTAGAGGTCACAATTTTTTACGAAAAATCGCCTTTTTTTCTTTAGCTTGTTCTCTATCCATCTCTTGCAAAATGTGGGTGTATCCTGCCTGGCAACCGCTTGTTAGGGTTGTATTTTAATACTTTTTTTATTTATTTTTGTTTTATAGATAAATACCAAGTTGAAAGACTCCTATCACAAACGAAAAACATTAAAATCAAATGCTCCGAGAATGCAACCGTTACCTCCTTCATCTGCCAAACCGTTGTATGGAGCAAACTTATTCCATCGACCTGAAATGATCATCAAGCAAACTCCGGAAGAAAAGAAATCAACGAACTGGAAAACATTTGGTTTAGGAATTGGAATTAAATGATAATTAGAATTTTTACATTAACAATGTCGACAGTGGGATTACTTCTAATATAGTTTGGTGTTATATTTTTGAAAGTTATGAAATCTTCAACCCAGATGGTTAATTTGATCATTTTATTAGTTTTTATGTAAATGGTGTTCAGTGGAGTTCAATAAATGGTTTAAGACTCTTGATAGAAATAAACTGTGATCAGAGAGTGTTTATATAAAAGATGTAGGTAATTGGGTGCATTTACAAGAAAATTTCATACAGATCAGATTATAACTTTTGTTGTTTGAGGATTCCCAAGGTTCTGAAATGAAATGAAATGGGGTTTAACGTCCTACTGTTCTGCACCTAAACTGGACTAATGAAAACGGGCATACGCCATACAGTGTGCTATGAGGGAAATTTTGCCTGGGCAGCAGCACTATCGGCTACTCTTATATCGAATTCCAACTGCCAGGGGATCTTTTTCGTGCATTCCAATATATACACTGGACCTCAGTTTTCCGTATCATCCAAAGGACTAGACAACTATCCTTGTCAGGCCCTCCGTTCTGCACCACTGACAAGGGGAAACCACGTCGGAAAATCTGGATGAAGTTTCTCGGCCAATGCAGGGATCGAACACCCGACCAAAGGCTAGTGGACCAGTCTTTACCATCTAGCCACCCTGGCTCCCTCCAAAGGTTCTACAAACTGAAACAAGGGTCTGAACCCTGGAGGTCATTGTCATTATAAACAGCATTTTCAGTCAGTTAAAAGTCTTTAGGTAGTGGGAATTTTTACAAGAAACCGTTTTTCATTTCATACAGATCAGATGATAACTTTTGTAGTTGGACACAGATCACCAAATATTCCTACGCCGTCACCCACGAAACAAGGGCCAAAGCTATTTTTAGTCTTCCTCTCCCTTTTCCTTTTTCCCCCTTTTGCATGGCGATTTTTGTTGACTTTTTGGTGTAGAATCGAGGAAAAGGGTTTGAAAATACATTTTCTGCCAGGTTTTGGTGAATATTCATAATTTTGATGCGGAAGGATACAAGAGTTGAGAGGTTGGTTAGGTTGAAATGTATGGCCTGAAATTGCATGTTTACTTGTCTCTACTTCCAGCTTGTGTATCTCAAGTTTTTCATGAAGAACCTCATACATGCTTTTGGGCAAGTGGTTGCCACATGTTGCTCCATCTGTGGTAGAAAGCGTTCTACCCAACGAAAATTTGGGAAAAAGTTAGAGCCGGTCTAAGATACGAGAATTAACATTGGAGTCAATGGGGAAATCTTTAGTGATCTGTGTCCTGTCTGTGTGTGATAAGGCTGTCACTGATATGCCTTAGTTTTGAAAATATGAAGATTAAATTCTCAGAAAATATGAATAATATAGTTTGGCTACAGAAAAACTAAAAAAAGGTTAATTAAAAAAAAAAAAAATCAAAGTTTTGAAGAAAAATTGTGATTTTACTGCAAATTTCTCAATTTTCAATTTTTATTGAATTTTTAACAGTAAGTAAAATATTCTAATGCCCAATGTTGGCTTATTCAGTCTCAGAAAGCACAGATAAAGTGAACAGTATTGAAATTTCACCAAATTTTGTCTAAAGATCAGGAATATTCACAAAAAATCTTGAGATTCCCCCCATTTCGATGTAGAAATTAATATTTTCATGACTACTAAAATGAGTCAAAATGTCTAAAAATGCCCATATTTTCTTTGCTAATATAACTTAGATGGGATCTACATGTTTGTCAGGTTTAGAAATAGCTCCAGCTTTCCTACAGAAAATTGAAAATTGGTAACACTGAGTTAATAATGTACAGCAGATGGGTTTGTACAAAATGTTCAAAACAGGGGTTGGCTCAATTTTGCCACTATTTTACCCAGAATAAGCATTTTTTTCTTCTTTGAAACATTAAATTCTTGCATTTCCTTCATGTAGGAAGCAATATCCCAGCCTTTCTAGACATTTTTTACTCCATCATTCTGTTTAGAGAGGCAATAAATGCCCCACCCCACCCTTTTCTATTAATGTGTTTTGAGGGATTTAAATGCACCTGTGTTGACATGTCATTGATCTTAATTGGAATTTGTGGTTGAATTACTGCTAAGAATGTTATTTTTCACCCAAAAATATTTTTTTTGTGCATTTCAAGGATTTCTAACAATTATTTGTTCAGAGTCAAACGTAGAACCCTGAGGCATTTCAGGCCAATGAGACCAGACCCAGATATAAAACTGGTGTAGATGTGTAAATGTCAGTTTAATGTTCAATATTTTCTTATCAAAATCAAGCATTTGTGGTGTTTGCTGCATTTATGTTGCCTATAAAACAATAAAATGTTAATTTTTCTCCTTTTCAGGCCTCTTTTTATGTTGTCAACTCTGTCATGACTACTCTTTTTACTTCTTTTTTCAGGAAATTAATGTAAAGTTCCAGACATCTTGCTTCAGCACAAGGATTGCAATACAAATTTGTAATATGCCTCTGAGGTTTGAGATGTTGGAAACATTGAAATATTCCCAAATTTGTGAAAATTGTGTATTCTGTGACCCTTCTGTTAGAGAGGGGTGATCATAGACCAAATATGGCATTTTTTTCATTCATCAAGGCCTATTTTTAACCATAATTCATATTTATTGCACCTATTTTAGTTTATATGTGCATATGTTAGCCAGGGATGGTAAAACATAGCTGTTAGACAGATTCCTTTGGTAATGTAAGTTCTGCAACCATAGATTAGATTAATTCAATCAGTGGCATGTTCAGGGGGTAGGCATACATGTTTCAGTATAGATCTCTAATATTACAATCATTGCAACTGGTTTGCATTTTTTCTGTTTGAATATTGTCCACAGATTCTAAAAATATATTTCTTGTCCGTCCGGATATTTAAAAAAGTGGAAAATTATTGGTATTTTGAGAGATGCTATATGTAAATTATGTACATTTTTCATCACATGGCAGTAAAAAATTATATTTTTGAAAAAAATTCCAAATTATGAGTGTTTTCTATGTAGTTTCTTTGTAACTTGTCTAATTTTTTCACAGAACTCAGATACTGCCTTTAATAAGAAAGATTTTTAAATTTTAGCACAAAAGGCCTATGGACCTGAGATGCACCAGTGTACATAAAGCAGCATGTGTACTTAAAGGGCCATCATTTTTACAGTTATTCTTTGATTTTGATTTTCTTTCACCGGCATGTTGCCAGAACACATGGGAAGGAAATAAAAAGGGCCTTTTGGTGATACCTGAAGTTTCACCCCTATATAGGACACAGATCACCAAATATTCCTACGCCGTCACCCACGAAACAAGGGCCAAAGCTATTTTTAGTCTTCCTCTCCCTTTTCCTTTTTCCCCCTTTTGCATGGCGATTTTTGTTGACTTTTTGGTGTAGAATCGAGGAAAAGGGTTTGAAAATACATTTTCTGCCAGGTTTTGGTGAATATTCATAATTTTGATGCGGAAGGATACAAGAGTTGAGAGGTTGGTTAGGTTGAAATGTATGGCCTGAAATTGCATGTTTACTTGTCTCTACTTCCAGCTTGTGTATCTCAAGTTTTTCATGAAGAACCTCATACATGCTTTTGGGCAAGTGGTTGCCACATGTTGCTCCATCTGTGGTAGAAAGCGTTCTACCCAACGAAAATTTGGGAAAAAGTTAGAGCCTGTCTAAGATACGAGAATTAACATTGGAGTCAATGGGGAAATCTTTAGTGATCTGTGTCCAGTTAAAGTGAAACAAGGGCCATAACTCTAGCAGTAACTAACGAAAATTGCTGAAATTCAATAGACTTCTTCATTTTACCAAATCAAATGATGCATACAAATTTAATACAGATCAGGTGATAACTTTTGTCGTTAGAGCGTTCACAAAGTGAAACAAGGGCCATAACTCTAGAAGTTAAAAATGTAAATTGTTGGAATTTAATAATGTAAATTTTAAAAAGATGATGATAAATGTAGTCTGTAGAGTGTTGATAAGAAAATGTGGACCACCGACGTACATACGGATGGAGGCGACACAACATACGGTCACATATCCATGTAGCCGTATAAAAACAAATAGAATTCTGGTTTGAAATCAAATTTATTCTATACATAAATTAAATACAAAAACATATACAGTATGTTAAATACATAAATGTAAAAATATTTTGTTACAATAGCATAAGAAGAATGTATACAAAAAAATCATATGTAATTTTTTTGATATATATCAATATAAATAAATACTATGGTATAATATTCTTAATTAAAAAACCCAAAATCAAATGAAAATCAGAATAACCATTGGGATATATTTATCACATTTCAGTAGATATTGTTTAATAACAAGCAATATAGACATCTTTGTTGATAAAAAGATAGGTTGCCAGGCAATGAAACATACACCCACAGCAGCTTAATCGTTCGGGCAGTTGGTAATGAAACATTTATAATAAACTAAAATCTGATTAAGAGTAACAACTCATTAAGTAATTATCAGTAAATTTGTTTAGCCCATGCTAACATTTACTATACAAAACATTTAATATCATGGATTTAGCTGTTCAAGTTATCAAAAATCATTGAAAATCAATATACTTGTTCGTCTCAAGACCTTAAATTCTGTGTATCAATCAATTGAAAGGATTTATTATTTAGGCATTAACACAGTGTATAAATCTAAAATCAATCAGATAATAACTATTGTCTCTAAAGCGTCCACAAGATTTTTCAAATCTGGCAATAATTATCAAAAATCATTGAAAATCAATAGGGTTCTCCATCTCTTGACCTTAAACACTGTGTATAAATTTAAAGTCAATCGAATATTAACTTTAGCCCTGAGAGCGTCCACAAGATTTTTTAAAAAGGATCAAGGGCTATAACTCTAACAGTAATTATCGGAAATTGGTGAAAATCAATAGGCTTCTTCATCTCATGACCTTAAACACTGTTTATAACAGACAGGGGTGACGACAATATAAGACCATATTTCAATGTGGGCGTATAAAACTAACTTTTTCTTATTAAACCTGTGTAAGTTTAGTGTGAGTTAATGGGGAAGAGCTAGACATTATGTAATGTATGGATACTACACGCGCGTTACCTCAAGTGTTGTATTCATACATTACACAATGTTGTGCTCTAGGCCGTTAAAAGACTTAAAATATACTGATGTCCAAAAGAAAGTACACACACTAAAAGTATGACTAAGTTTTGTTTAGATTAAAAACATTTGATAAAGCATTACTGGG